GTAGGGGTCATGCCTGGTATTCCTTCGTGGCGCGGGTCAGAAGGAAGATCCCCTACACTACCACTTACGGAACTCCTGCAGTGGAAATGGGCAACCTTCAGGCTCATATGAAGGCGCAAAGCCGCTTGTGGCCATCTTTCCCCCGCGCCAACCCAGGTCTTCTGAGCTCCAGTGTCCGACACGTGCTACGAGCCGGTGAACCTAGACCGCTTCTTCGAGAGTGCTTCAACTCCGAGCGGCTTGCCCGATGGCTATGCCTTTTGCTCTGGTCAAGCAACACGCCCTCTTCCAATGACACCGGTCAAGCTCACTAAGAGTTACATTCAATTAGCATGGAGGCTGATCTCCCGTTCTCGGAATGGTGTCCAGGATGAGCAACATCGCTCACAGCACGGCTGCTGCCAAAAAAAGTCGTCTCTATCTCTGATGCAGCTAGGCTTTGAGACATACACACTGCAGACAGTGGCCTTCTCGAGCTCTCAGAGTTCACCTACTATGCATTAGATATCCACTGTAATCCAGTTTGACTGCTTCTGCCGAAGGGCTCCAACACTCAAAGTTGGTCTAAGTACAATTGGGGCAAGACCGTCTTCAAGCATGTAACGCCTCTCCCTCGAATGCTGGCACTTTCCGGACTCGTAGACTCAACCTCATGAAAGATGCGTACAGTACGGGTGGAGCTTTGCACGCAACGTCGCGTTACCACAAGTCCCACACCGTACTCGAGCCCGTTTCTCTTTTGGTGGCATGAGCCGCACAGTCACAGTGCCTTTTCGAGGTTGCTGGGAAGGAGTCTCCGAAGAACTCCTGCAGGCGATGAGCCTGCTGTATACGCCATTTGTAAGCGAGAAGGTCGATACCATGGTCCGCGAGAGAGATGCCCTATAGTGCTCCCCATACTGTCATTCAGATACCGCATACGGACAAGCAGATAAGGTCCCATTGCTTTACGGCATCGACCAACGAACGGTCTAGCGCCTCTGAGATCATTGGAGCTCGAGTGCCTCGGTCTCTTTCTAAATGTCACCATCTGCAATGTTCACCCTTCAAGCATTCAGTACGGCCAGCTGGCGTCTGTGGCTCCCTTGACTCACGATGTACCGTGCTGCAGAGAGCTCGGTCCGGAGCTGCAGACAGGAAGGAAACCGGTGCTCTGACTATGTACACTTCTTTCGCATCCGTCTCGAAACAGGGGGACTGAAAATCGCATTGGCATAGCTTCAATCTCTCCAAAACGTCTGATACTTCGATGTCAACGACCAGAGCATGAACATCGATCTTCCTCACTCGCCAGCGATTGCGTCCTCCCCAAACGCCATGTATACGGCTGCTCGAGCCTGCTGTACTGGAACGCTTTACTACACGACCTTGTCTGTCCTAAAGTTCGGAAGGTCTCCAGAGCTCAACAGACGTAAAGCGAAGCTTAGCTCAGAGCGACTGGAGTGGACTGTAGCGGCCTCCGGCCTCGTCCTTTCGCCTTCGCCTGGGTACACGATCAGATCCGTGCTGGACCCGTCGTGCACATTTCCATTGAAGCCGTCAACTCCCATTGATCGCACAGCATTCGGATACCTGGACCGCACGCGCAACAAGACGCTGATGACTTTGATGAAATTGTCTTGGACTGCAACGGGGATTCGACGAAACCCAAACGCATGGTCGTTGCGGCCACTTGCCTATGCAGGTGAAGTGTGACGCGCGAAACGTGAAGATACAACTGAGGATGAGGGCGAGTCGATCGAGTGATCTCAATGGCTTTTCGAGGAGTGCGAGTAAGAAAGGCAATCAGGCTCCTTTGCATGTAGGCCCTACAAGTTGCCGGAGAAAGGAAGCAGGACCCACAAGCATGAGGTGGATATGGCGGGACACCCCAAGGACTTGCTTGCGTCAGGTGCGGCCCCTGTGTTTGGGAGACTACCTCGATGCTGGATGCATACTAGGCTCTTGCGCCCGCACCGACGTCCTGATCAAATAGACTTCACCGCAGCCGCGGCTCCGAGAGTCGCACGGACATCGTCCCAGGTGGCGCATTTTCCTTCAGGGATCAAAGACGTCCAAGCTGCACCAAACTCATGTTGATCCTTGGTGAGGGAGAAGAGAAGCGCACATGGGAGAACCTCTGGGACTTGGCGCCCTATATCCGGAACAAGCCGTAGCAATCTTTCCATCTCTGTGATGGCCGCCTCAACGTTGCGAGGCGTTCTTGCCATCTCGATGAGCTCAAACATAGATTGAAGCTCGTTCGAGGGACCTACAGGCCTGATAGAAGCCTTGAGAAAGCGAAACAGATTTCGCGAGCTTGGCCCGCTCCCTCTCTGTCCATCAGTCCCCCGATGCCCTCGCACCCGGCTTCAACCTCGCACCTTGTTCCTCATCACCCCTCACGGCACGCCCAGGCAACCCTTGCCCACGAGCTAGTGCCGCCAGCTACTCCTCCATCATACACCAACACCCACACGGAGCACGAGCAGCGCATTCAAGCAGGGAAAAGAGAGCAATCCGCCGACAGCAGTCTCACACAGGTCCCACCAAAGGCTCTCCCGCCAGGGCTTCCGTCAGCAGGACTCAGCCATTGGCGTGGAATGAGTCTGATAGCGATCATCATCAGTCATCATCTCCTAGCGCAAAGAGTTGGGGGTGCAAGAAGCCCGCCACTAACGTCGCTCTCAGGGCCGTACAGGTGCTTCTACAGACCATCTTTGCCGCTGTACGAATCGGCAGCAGGGGGAAAGATGCAACACAAACGGATACGAGCAGCAGGAGCGGTCAAAAGGGCCGATGATGCCCCGACGTCAATGAAAAGGGCGCTGCAACAGTCCGAATCGACGTTTGGCAGACTTACCGGCACAAGCTTCGGCTGGACCGGCAATCGCCGCCGTCACCCCGAAGCGGCAGACGCCGTGCTCACCTGGATGGCAGGCTACAGCGCCAGCCACCTTGCAAACACTTGCATCCTGCTTCTGGCAGACTCTTGTAGGGAAATCAGAGGTCTAAACAGAGCGGGCTACAAGCGAGGTCGAATCGAAAGAAGCTCGGAGCCACTAGGGCAATGGCCCTGAAGTGAGCAACCGTCGGCATCCTTTAGCGCTATCGCACGCAGTCCTACCTTGACACCGAAGAGGGCGTTCAGCAACGATACCAAAGTATCGCTATATGTCCCATCCCCCCGCGGCAGCCGAGGCTTAGGCAAGGGCGGTCGTCTCTTACCTCTCCAAAGGGAAAAAGAAGCCCTCGTACTCGTCAGGAGCCGCCCTGTGGTCAGACCACTGCATCCTCTGAAGCTCCTCTTCAGAGACCTGGGGGCAACTTGAGAACCGCGACGTTGCGCCGGGAGCAGGAGGACCCCCCCTTTGAGGAGACCACCATTGGTCCCAAGGGTTTGTGGAGTCCATCGTCCTTCACACGGTATCCAGAGCTGATAGCTGAGGGTCTAGTATGGTTGGGGTAAGGAGGCAAGAGTGGACTTATGATACGCGGCTCCTAGAATGAGGGCCTGGGGTCGGGGCCTCGGCTCCTAACATGTGGTCCAGGGTGGTGTACGGTCCTTTGCTTTCTCCCTCTGCCACTTGTCTCCAAGGGAGCCCCACTAGAGACCGATAGGATCCAGCACCAGCGACGATACCGTACAAGGCCGCATCGCCGACTGAAGCATCACCTGCGAACCCGAGCAATGAAGCTCTTCCCGCGCACAAACTGCAGCCTGTGGACCGACCGACAGAGGCACATTTCTTTTTTCGAGTGTGCTGTGGTAGGGCACTGCAAAGTCAACGTCTGGATTGCTTTTGAACAATGTCCGCTGCTCTCGACAGGGGATGCTCAATGACTCGGGGGTGATTGATGGAGCGTTGTGAGAGAGTGAGAGAGAGTGAGAGAGAGTGAGAGAGAGAGATATTTCATTGAGCCGACCCCAGGCCTGAAAGGTCTATGCAGCGGAAGCGGTCTAAAAATTTACAAGGTTGGATCCGAAGTCTATGCTTTCCCATCTCTGCTGTCCTCCGGCCCCTGTGGTCTACTATGGCATGGGTGGCCACGGTTCAAGAATACTGTGCGAACCTTGCTTTCCAGAAGGCGCTGTACCGCACGTATTACCTTGGGATCACTGCTGTCCAGGCCTTTCCCGCAGAGAGCCGGCAGCGTGTCCTATCTCACTTCGTAGTTGCCTTTTCTGCTGATTCCATCTCGGCCAACTGAGCAAGACATGTTCTCGTATTTCTCTCCAGTGTCCACATGAGCAGGTTGCGTCTTGGAGGAGCCACGTCATGCCTGTTAGGTACGCCTGACAAGTACGCCTCAAGGAGCCCCGTCATCCCTGTTAGGTACGCCTGACAAGTACGCCTCAAGGAGCCCCGTCTCCTTAGCGCGGCCTCGGCGAGTGTAGGGAAGTCTGCCGCGATAGCTTGCAGTGTCGATTTGTATCTCGCTCGCTGCCGTATGCCGCTTTTGTCTACCTTTGCGCGAAGTGGGTGGGTCTTGGCCGTCGTCTTTCAGCGTGGCGTAGTGCTTGGCGTCTGCCATCGTGTAGACCTGCTGTAGCGGGAGCAGGCATGCCTCGTACTCCATTGCTACCGTTGACGTCGTTTTGTAGCAGCCAGTGACTGCCATAGCGGCCATCCTCTGCGCTTGCTCCAATTTGTGGACGTAGCTGGACCTCCCCTCGCCCCTCTGGCTGCTGGCCGGCATCCAAGTGGTAGCGGCAAACATGAGTATCGGTTGGATCCCAGCAATGTAAAGTCTTCGTAAGTTCTCATACGAGAAGCCCCATGTACGGGTGCCCCAGTGCATGAGCGCCGTCGTCGCCCGTAGAGCCCTATCCGCCAGCGCCGCAACATGTTCCTTGAAACGGCCATTCTGAGCGAACGTTACGCCCAAGATCCTGTGCTGCGTTACTGGGTAGACTATGGTCTCGCCAATGCTGATCTGCGCAGGCTGTATTCTGTCTGCTTCCCGGTCTGTTGATCGTCAGAAGTACAGATCTGCTCCCGTCAAATCTCGCCCCGTGTCTACGGCTCCAGTCCTCTGCCTGGTTTGCTACTCTCTGCAAGGCCCCCCGTGAGCTCATTGTCTGTGGCGCCGGCTACGCAGACGGTCCGATCGTCTACCCAGCTAATGGACATGGCGTTGCCCGGCATGTCTGCCGGCTCGATGAGTGTGCTGCTGTAGCATAGCCAGAGTAGCTGTGAAACTGGAGATCCTTGGGGGAGTCCGCCTGAGCACTCGAATCTGTGCCCTATGTACTCGCCTAGCCGAAGCTGTGTGGTTCTACCCACCATGAAGGACTTCACCCACGTCCGGAGGATAGTGGGCCATCCTCTAGCCGCCATGTCCGCCGTCAGTGGGCCTCCCTGGACATCGTTGTACGCCCCGGCAACATCGGCTGCCATTATCGTCACCGACCTCTTAGCAGAGTGGCTGTCACGTACGAATGTCCGGATCGCTAGGGTGGCATCCTCAGCCGATCTGCCCAGTCTTCCCCCGTAGTGCCCCGGTGGCAGGATCCCTCTCATTTTCTCTGCCTGGAATAGAACTGGGGCCGAGATGATGGCCTCGAGGAGCTTGCCCGTGGTTGGGAGTAGGGTGATGGGTCTATATGCTTTCGATACCCTGTAGTTGTCTTTGCCAAGCTTCCTGAGTACGATTGTGGTCGCTCTCTTGTAGACTTCTGATGCACCCCTTTCTGCAGACCGCTGTTGAAGATGGCGGCAAGTGTCTTGCTGTACTGTAGTCACTCCATCCGGCTTCCAAGTATCGGTGTGCCGACCATGGGATCCCATCAGGTCCCGGTGCGGTGTCCTTCTTGGACCGGCGTATGCGCTTGCTGACCTCGTGTGGAGTGATGAGCTTCCACTTCCACCTCTCTGGCTCCTGGCTCTCCTCCTGATCGCTCCCCTCCTCGGCTGGCGGGAAGAAGGCCCTGCGTAGGACACTCTCTTTTGTCTGGGGCCGTCTGCGCTGGGGTCTCTCCGTCGAAGAGGTCTGCTACGTGTGATGCATTGGTGGTCCTGCTTCTGGCCTTTGCTATCTTCCATAGGTCGTCCGCGGGGCTTGCCAGACTCTCGCGGAACGCCGTCTTCTTTGCTGTGCGGATCGCCTGGTGTAACGAGTTCGGGAGTCTTTTGAAGGCCGCTAAGGCGACCTCTTCTGCCTCTCTGTCCCCGCCCTTCGCGTCTTGGTATCGCCGCCTCAGGCGGTCGACTGCAGCCCTCATTCGGTGTAGCGCTGGTGTGAACCAGGACTTCGAGTGAGGAGATGGCCTCTTGAACGGTGTGTATTCCTCAAGGCTCTCTCGCGTAGCTTGGACCAGGGTCGCTGCCCAGCCTCCGGGTCGTCTTTGAGTCTAGGAAGTGTTGAGAGCTGTGCTTGCCACCTAGTGGTCATCTCCTCGATCAGCTTTCTCGTGTCGCACCTCTTCATGTTGAAGGCCGGCGTGCTTGTGGCTTCTTGTATCTCAAGGTCGATTTTGCTGTAGACTGCGAGGTGGTCTGACTCAGAGGACCAATCGGGCGCTCCTCGGCACTCTACTATGCGGTCGTAGATGTCGGGGATAGTGAAGGCTAAGTCTATGGTAGTGTATCTCCCACTGTGCGTGCAGAAAGTGGGTGTGTCTGGCGGTGTCATGAGGTCAAAGCCAAGCGTCGCTACGGCAGTGACCCACCTGTCTGAACTTTCGTCTACTTCTGTCGTGTGCTCCTCCCACCAAGTGTGGTGTGCATTGAAATCTCCGATCACGACAGTGCTTCCATTTTCGCCGCCGTTGCTCTCGAAGACATCCATTAATGGGACGCAGGTGTCCGCTGACCGGGGTGGGTTGTACATGTTGTGGATGGTGATGGAAGAAGGGAGTGTTCTATCCTTGTTGCTCTGATGAGCCGAGACTGCAAGTCGCACTGATATCAGGTATGGACGTGTCTGGGTGATCTGGGTGACGTCACCCTGGCGTATCCTTTGATGGATGTATATGAGGACTCTTGTGCGAGGTGGGTACGGTGTCTTCCTAGGATATCGTGGGTCTTCCGGAGAGGGTCCAGTGATTCCGTATGGGTGCCAGCGATGCTGGGTGAGTGTGTTGCTGTAGTATGAGAAAGGTTCCTGTAGGCATAAGATGTCGTGCTCCTCCGCTACCTCCTCGTTGTTTAGTAGGGCGTGCATCACTGAAGCGGATTTATGGCAATTAAGCTGTAGTATTCGTAGTGTCCTCATAGATTCCATGAGGTGGTTTGGTATCGACATCGTGCAGGGCATTCCCTGCTGCTGGCGTAGTGTCGTCCACCGCAATTGGCGCACTTTACCTCAAGTGGGTGCTTTTCACCCCGTCGCATTTCTCTTCGCACTCGTCGCAATCCATATGGTCACGCGTAAGGTCGGGTAGTGCGCACAGAAGGCACATTGCTGTCGCTGCCTTGTAGTTGTCGGCCTGATGTCCGAATTGTTGGCACCTAGTGCATTGGTCGACCCGTGGCCTCGGTCGATATTCGTCCAGGTATACGACCTCATTGTGGATACTAATCTTGCCTCTGTTCTTCACGGAGTCCCTCTCGCTTTCCGCGCCTATGAGCCATCGGCAGGACTTGACTTCAGTACCCGTCGACTGTTGCATTGCTTCGATGATCTGCTCCTCGGTGAGCTTACAAGAGACACAATGCGCTACTAAGGACCTGCCGTTTAAGGCACCTGGCCTGGAGAGCTGGGGGACCTCCCCGATGTGCGAGAGGGCCCTATCTATCCATTGCTTGCTGGCGTCGAATACTCTGAGTACCTCTGCCTCTGTGTTGAGCTCTACCGCCAGATCGCCGCTGGTGAGTCGTCGCGTGGCCAGCCGCTTGATCTTGAGTTCCCTCTGAAGTTCCGCTTCCACTTTCTTGTTTAGCTCCTCTGTGGGAGTCGTGTGTATGTTGTGGTCCTTTGCCAGTGCGGATGCTCGCAAAATGATCCTCGTAGGTCTCGGGGCTCCCATACGGGGAGGTGTTTGGTGAGGAGGTGTTTGCCGTTGAGATTGCTGTGTCTGACGAGGTGTCGGGAGTGGCTGGCTCTAAGCTGCCTGAGCCCAGGTGAGCTGGCTGGCTTTCTTGATCGTGCTCTTCTGGATCAGCAAAGCGAGATTCGCCATTGTCGCCTGCAGCGGGTCTATCTTCCTGTTCATCTCTGATGGTGAATCGTCTCTTTCTTGTGTTGTTCGTCTGGGGTTCCTCGCACCTTCTCGTTCTTCCTCCTCGTTCGCCCTCGGGGCGTGGATGGACGCTTGTAGCGATCGTTGTGTGGCGACCTGTGGTTCTTGCATCTTCCTAGATCGAAGTAGTAGTTTCTGGAGGCGAAGGCATCCTACCTTCCCCACTTTCCAGTTGGCGCCGCCTTCCCCCTCGGAGGCTCCTGAAACTATGTCGAGGCATTGAGATATGATTTGCGCGAGGCTCAGGTCATCTACACTCTCGAGTGGGTCGTCTTCCAGATCAGCTTGGTCCTCCCTGCGAAGGAGGGGGACAACTGGTGTGCTCTTGGGGAGCTCATCTGTCGGTAATAGGCAGGAATTTGCCCTTCTTCTGGTTGGTCGTACCCGTTCTTCGGAGTGTATTACCCGGCTTCGGAGCCTTTTGGTCGGGCTGGACAGAGGTTGTGGCTCGGTGCTGTCGGCGGCGCCCCTCGATGGGCTTCTGCTGCTGTCTTGGTGTGTGTTGGATGTAGGCGTCTCTCGGGATCGTACTGGGGGCGTCGTGGTCATGAGCGAGGCCGATGGCAACGCGGGGTGATGGGGGCGATCACCCGCATCACCTCTTATCCCGGGCCTCGAGCGGGAGCGCAAGTGGTGTGAGCGAGCTAGGCTCAGAACGTAAGGGTGTAGAGAGTAGGGAGAGTGTCCTCAGAAAGGGTGTCGTGAGGACATGATGATCTGGGGGGGGGGATGGCCGATTGAGCGTTGAGATGCACCTGGACGCTAGACAAGCTGCTTCCCCTTCCCTCCTTGTTCCCCCCTGCTTTCTTCTCCTTCCGATCCTACCCACGCGCACGCGCGCGAGGGGCAAGGACCTGCGCCTCTCCTGCTTATGAGGCGCTGTGACCCTCGCCGACGCGGAGGCAAGGGAACCCTTGGCCCATCTGTGTCCCTCGTATTGAAGGGGCCACTCAGCTCAGATAGATACGGCAGCCGTCCCCTCTCCGCTCTTCTCATACAGTCCATCTGCCTCAAAGGCCGCCAGGCGGCGCTGCAGTCTGGTGCTGCAAGCGAGTTCGTGGCGAGCCGAGGTCTGATTCCGAAGTGCAGTCAGCTGCTGCATGTCTCAGCCACGCCAAAAGCCACCAACTCATCCAGGAAGGTGCGGCGATGACGAGGCTCCTGCCGCCCTTTGGCAAAGAAAACAGGCGGGGCATGGGATACGGGGAGGAGACCAGACGGGGAGACGGGGAAGAGACCAAACGGGGATACTGGGAAGAGGCCAGCGTTTGGCCGGATGATTCGGAAGAGACCATCCGCCCGTCTACTCGCGTCTCTGCATCTTCGAGAGCTACAACGCCATCACCTCCTTGTTGCTGCTACTGCTCCGTAGCCTCGCCCAACGAATCCAGACACGCGCCCTCTGCCACATCTTCCTCGAGCACACTGGCTGTAGAACGTTTTCCTTCGATTACGACTCAGCAGTCGCAGGCTACGTATCGCGGGCTTTTGCTCCGATTTGTCCCCCAAGGAGACAGGAAGAACCCCTCATATTGATGATGACAGCTTCGACAGAGACACGGACAGCAGTGGCAGCTGCAGCAGCAGTAGCAGCAGCAGTATCCGCAACGGCAGCAGCAGCAGCAGCAGCAGTAGTAGCAGCAGCAGTAGTAGCAGCAGTAGCAGCAACGGCGGCAGCAGTAGCAGTGACAACAGCAGTGACAGCAACAACGTCGGGATCAGTGGCACGAGCAATGCCAACAACGTAGAGCAGGGAGCTGAAGAGGCGAGTGAAGCGAATAGCTGGAGTTCACTTGCTCCAGACTTTGTACGGCACCAAGACCCAGTTCTGCCCCTCAGCGAGTATCCCGCGGATGAACAAATCTATGACGATGAACTGTTCCCGAGACCCTCACTGGGAGAGAAGACGTCGCTCTCCCGAATTCCCAGCGGTGCTTCGAGCCCCACGAGGAGGTATACGATGTCTTGAGGTAAACAACTGATAATCGAGCTTGATCAAGAGTCACGGCCTCAGCAAAGGAGCGTGGAGAATAGAGCAATCCCGGACTGCCGGACCGCCTTCCATTACATTGTCTGGAGGCAAGCTCTGCCACTTTCCTCGACACTTTCTCTGTTCTCCTTATCATCCTTTGCTACTGTACTTTCCCAGATGGCAGGAGGAGACGCAATGCGGCTGCTCCTCTCTCATTGGTAGGCGCTCACATGATACATCTCTCGGCATCGGTGGTGGAAAGTGGTCCCCATACGGTGAGACAGCGCTCCGCTCTATTCCTCATCGCCGGCAGGTCCTTCTTACAAGTATTGCCCTCCAGTCTCTCTTCCCACGACAACAACCCTTGCCACATTCGTTCTTCAGTCTCTCGTCCATGAAGAGTCACGCCAAAATCGACGCTTGTCTTTATCTCTCGGGCTAGTGTTGTTTCCATAGCCATGCTTGAGTTTTCGTCTGAATCTCGCAAAGGCCACCTCTCAGACAGGCAATGCATCTCTCAGCTTCCCATCGCTACTGTATCGAGCCCACCGCTTCCCGTAGGACACAGGTGACATTCACTCTTCGCGTGCCATTACCTTGCCACACCTTACGTTGGGCCCTTGCCCTAGAGTGGGAAAGTTAGAGTCCCTATGCGTTCAATTCGCCGTGTACAGACCTGGCCGCCTCGGTTCGAAAACAACCTGACGAGCATGGCCACCAGGAAACAGCAGATTCCCATTGGTCGCTGTATGAATGATTGAGACATTGATGTCCTCGTCTTGGCCGATGGCCTTACACGACGACGATGCCGTTCTCTTCCCGATTCCTTGACTGGTGCAAGAGAATGGATGATTGGGTGATACTCTGTACACACGAGAGAAGCATCAGATATAGTCAAGATGTCAAGTCTCTAAGTGCATTGCAACACCCTCATCACAGATTTGGTGACGTAGATTGCTTATCGGTTCCCAATGGTCTTGCTACTGTTGACCTTTGCAATCGATGCCATAGATGTTTGCAGTACAGATCCGTACCAGGGACTCGTCTCCATCCAGATCCGGCCATGGTCAAAAGGAAACTAGACCGGGCAGCCAAGATTGACGAGTATGGCTGGCAGGACATCTTGGGACAGGCAACAGCGTTGTTGTTAGCTTCATCTGATCAGCAGCCAAGAAGTAGACCAAGAGCTCACCATCTGAGTCAATGCGCCGTACACTGGTACAGCCTCTAATCACGTCCACCTGAGTGTACCAATGATGGAGCAGCCGGTCTGCTCTCTTCTCCTGGTCCTCCCCTAGCTTCTCTTTGACCTCACCCCGCCTCTCTTGCCTCCTATTCCAGGCGTTGTTTGAACTCCAGGCAGATGCTGCTGACACGATGATGGGTAGCAACAGCCTCGTGCACCAGCTGCTTCACCCAGACCTGGAATCCGTCTACCTTACTTCCCATCTTCTCTGTTGCTTCTGACCAAGCCCATGAGATGTCTCCTGTGTCCTCGTCCTCCCTTCTATCGAATTCGAGGGAGAAGTAGTCGCTGCCAAAGCCATGATCGCTGCCGTTGGCAAAGAGGTGTTCAAGGAGTGCCCTTCCTTCAGTACCGAGGTTGTTGATCCGCGCAAGGGCTCTGGCAGAGCGGGGGCAAAAGCGCTGGAAGATGGTTGAGCCAGTGTCTGCATCAATGATGGTTGAGCGGAACACTGTCGCGCTGGGTGCTGCCAAGGATCTCGGAGGGAGAAGAAGCAGAGGAGGCAGATAGCTGCAGAACCTCGTGATTATTGGCATTTGCTGAGATGTTTGCCTTGTAGGCACGGCTCCTCTCCCGGCGCCTCTGCTGATCGCGAGTGTAGAAGGACATGATGCTGAACAGACTTGGGCGCTCTTGAGCAGGACATGTCAGAGATGCGAAGGAATACGGTGGTGACGCAAAGCTTGAAGCCAATGCAAGGGTATCGAATGGAAAGTTGAGGGAACCTGATGATATTGCTGCAAAGCCCCGCACCGGCTGCCTCTGTTGGTGGCGCCTGTGCGTGCGCACCTGAGATCTCACTTGGAGACCCTCCAAGTGACCCTTTTGGATCTGCTATAGCTCTATTACCGTATCTGAGGGGAGCACTGGAAAGCTCCAAAGCAGACCTTTCAGACAGTATAAAGGTGTCGGTGTGAAGACTGACATTGAGTATGTAAGAGAGGAGGAGGCTAGGTCACTCCTTTGAGGATTATATGTAGGAAACAGGCACAGGAGCAGAGGAAATAGAAGCTTCCACCAGGCGCATGCACGCCTGGCGCCACGGTGGAACCACTGACAGCCTCGCCTGGCGGGCGGGCGCGTCAAGGGGCGCAATACGAATTGACTGGCCACCCTGTTGCGTCTACATGTGATGACGAGGTCTGAGCGAGAGGAGAGCCTTCTGTGAGACGTAGCGGAGAGGCGAAGTACTGCCGGACGTCAAAGAGTGCTTAGTGGAAGACCAGGAGGCGTCTGTGCTCGCAGCAGCCGTGGCCAGTCTGAGGGGAGCGTCGAGGAGGCAAAGGCGAGACAAAAGGCGGAAAGGCATTGCTGCCGCGCAGCCTCTGCCAGGACAAAGAGGGACCATACCTTCCACTAGCCATGCGGTGGTGCCTTGCGGCCTCTCACTGTTACCTTCACTCTTCCATCTCTCCACTTCCTCACTCGTACCCGTCCACCTTCTTTCCGCTCCACCACATCCTCCACCATTTCACAGTCTCTATCACCTCCCTCGCGTCCGTTGCAAATCTCCGTTCACCATATATGCGTCGTCATGGCCACTTTCGGCGACCCTCTGGGTACGCAGAGGAAGCTCCAGGTTTTGGACGCAGATGGCGCTCCCATCCAACCGCAATCCACAAGAGCAGGTCCGGACAGTAGCCAGGAAGACTTCACTGAGAACAATCATCGCGGCGATTCGGAGGCTGAGAGAGACACGGATGCTGGCTGCGAAGCCGACAGTGGCGAACAAGACATCCAGTCACCTACTTTCTCTTCCGGCAGACGCATCCAGGGCCATATCGAAGAACAAGACGTCCATTCATCCGCTAGCCAATCGAATACCCCTTTCATAAATGAGGATCTCTCCTGCCATCGACTTCGAGTCATCCTACAGCAGCCCTCAGCTGGACTGCTCCTGGCATTGGCCACTGTACTTACCATCGCCGGCAAAAGCCAAGACCGGCCCCAAGTGCACTCCGCCGCGGGAGATGGCAAGCTCCTCAGGAGCATTGACCCCCAGTCACCCGTATTTCAGGTCGTGTGCGGGACAGCAAGCACCTACCTCAAAGGAGACCTTTCCACTCATGATCGTACTGACCGCAAAGATCAGATCCCTGGCCTAGTATCTCTCGACAAACGCGAACTGAAGCTTGGGAGGAAAGTGTTTCCAGGTCAGCTCGTACATACGACACTTCCAAAGGACAAGTCCCCAGTCTATCTCAGCCTAAAGGGGATTCCCTCAGTCCGACTCAGAGAGAAGCACGCTGCCTTTCAGTCAGCTTTGCAGGCCAACAGCTGTTCTTTACAGACCTTGGAGTTCTCAGCTCGAGAACAGGGCAATCCACTTTTGGTGTTCGCAGACGAGGACGGAATCGGACATGGCTATTGGTCTTGCACTTTCGTCCGAAATGCGATTGAGCCCCTCATCATCACAGGTCGAGCTATTCAACCTCAGGAGATTGACTTGGCCCAAATGCTACGTGCCATCAACACCGACTCTCTCGCAGACAGCGTAGTCATCCTGAGGGGCGCCGACTGTCCATGGGAGCAGAATGAGCTTGCCTGCGCCCCATACTGGCTAGAGGCAAGTGCCGCTGACCTGTATACACAGAGCCTCAACAGCATTGTCGAGCCCCTGTGCACTGTACATGCAACTAGCCCTGATCCGGTGGCGGAGACTGAGCTGACACAATCCTTGAGTCACCATCAAGCTCTTCTTGCAGCCCTAACGAACAGTACGCGCCCCTCCACCTTGATGTCTACTGTTAAGACGAGAAAACGCCAGGCTCCCACACCTCTCGCGCTAGTCTGCACCAAGCGATCCCGCCACGGACGTGACTCGACGCCAGCTCGAAACGCCACAGCTAAGACTGACGCTGCCGTACGACTCATTCAGGTGCAAGATTATGCCGCTGACACAGCGAGAGCGCCGAGTGGCTTGGGAGACGTCGTCTCTACCACAGATACCAGCTGGGGCCGTCCACCGCCGTCCCGTTCAATCCCGGGCTCAAAGAATGCTCAAGCCTTTCCCGCAACTGCAATTCCCCCAACAGGATCTGCTACGGTCTTCTCGTAGCCCGTGATGAGACTTTTGCGGCAGTCAGCACTGTTGAACCTTCATTCAGCTCGCACACTCGCTCGACTTTGTTCTCTTCGCCTGAAGCCCTGAAGCTGCCACACCAATTGCAGTACTGTAATTGCGCGCATGTCTAGAGACTTTGGTACCAGCGGGAGGAACAGAGTAAGATGGCCTGATCTTCATTTCCCTTCAAGAAAGCCGTTTAGCAACTTCCGTACAAGCTTCTTAGACCTCGATTGTTTGGCTCGAGCCTCCAACATGCCGAGCTCATCGTACTTCTCGCCTGTACTACTCCATTGGTGTCCACTTCTGTGATCGATGTCGCAGCCATGAACCCTGATGGAGATCGTGACTGCAGTCCAACGATTGGCCAATGGTTCGTCTGGATCAAAGGGCGTGGCGAATCTTGGAGAAATAGGAAGCTTGCTTATAGTTCATTTCGGCTGAGAGACCAGGGGAGCGATGCAAAAGTCAGTCGTTTCGCGTTGATCGTATTGGGATACTAGGAAGGGTGCAATGAATGTTGCAGGAAAGGCGCTCTCTCCCGCACGACATCTTTCACTCGGACCTCACCAAATCCAGCAGAGCGGATTCTCCTGGTGAGATGTTGCTTGTCAGGCTCTTACGAGGTTCGCGAGTCAAGTCATGTTCCAAGCTATGCGTGCTCGGCCGGCTGCCCACCCCAGCTGCCGCCTGTAGCAGAGTCGCAGAACGTCATGAGTAGAAACACCACACAGTAGCTACTCAGGGAATCTGTCCGGGCGTCTCTTCCCAGGGCTCATCATCGAGAAAAATGCGCGGATGAACCAGAAGAGCTGGATGTGCGGATGATTGCCCCCTTGCATACAGCCCGAGGCCGAGCACGACCGAGGTATAGTAATGTAGCTAGAGGCTGTATGTTTTATAGGCTGCAGGCAAGCTCCAAGCCCGAGATGGGACGATGGATACAGTGGTGCACAGTGAAGTCTCTAGAAGCGAGAGCTAGTGTACAGAGCTCAAGAAGGAATGCCGCTCACCTCGAGGTGCCAGTGAGGATCGGAAGAGGCGAATGGCTCTGGGGTGCAGTGGCCATCAAAGAGTTGGTCAGCCCTTGTTTGCCTGCTCAGAGATTCCAGCGGTGACGGCGAGAGTCGACACTTGCCTCGGTGTATTCGAAAGCAGCAGGTTTCCCCTCTCCTGCCCCTCTTCCCAATCGTCGGGAGAAGGCGAGGTCCTCTGCTTCTATGGCGAGGTGCTGTGTATACACGGCTGACAGGGTAAATATCATCTCGTCAGCTCCGGGATAGAATCTCTCCGCCTTCGGGTGGCATACGGGGTCGCCATCAGTCGCCAGCACCCACATCTCCGACACCCAGTGTGAAGCCCTTTTGTGCTTTGTGCCCAATGCCAACGCCAACGCCAACGCCAACACCAGCTCCATAGGCACCAGTGCCAGGCAGCAGGCACCTGAACAGAGTCCTCCCTCCCTGCCGTGCGCAAGCCCTGCTCGCCCGCCCTCAATAAACGGATCCCCCGCCACCATCCCTCGAAGAGGAGATGGAGCGCAAGAGGAGACCGACGACTACAGACTCTGAATGTCTGCAACATTTGGGGAGGAAAGTAGAGCGCGTCTTGCTGCTGCTGAGGAGGCTGGAGGGGGAAGGTCGTCTGCGCTTGTGGGTCAGGATCAGGATCAGGGTCAGGGTCAGGCTGGGTTGAGGTGAGGGTAAGCAGGGCCAATATTGGGTTCGGGCTGCAGCGGTGTTGGCATTGGGAGTGGGAGTTCAAAGTGAGCCCTGAGAAGTGCTGTCCGCTGTCTGCTGCTAGAGGAGTTTGCGGCGACTCAGAGCATGGTGGACCGAGGGATGGAAGCGCAGACCAGGCAGGCGGGAGAGTGTGGACCAGATAGGGCCTGGCGGGGGACAAAGCGTACGAAGGACAAGTGTGGAACGACCTGGTTGCTTGTCAATGTGAATTTGGGAGGCTCATATTGAGCTATCAAGGACAAAGGTGTGGAACAGATGGCAATGTGGGAATGAGCAGCGCCATGACAAGACGGGGGAATGGGGGGGGGGCGAGCCTTTGTGAGCTACTCGCTGTCGAGCTCCTCTCCTGTTTGTGGGAAAGACCAATGGTACGTATGTCTGCGTTTGTGAGAGAAGCGCTCCCGCCATCGTGTAGGCACCTCGCGCTCCCACAGACTCCTTGTACAGTGCTTCCCATTCTACTCAATGTTCGGTGGTAAAACAGTAGCCTCGTCCCCTCCGGCCACCTTTGCTGCTCTGAGGCCTGGTCCAAGCTTGTGACTCCTGCTTGGTCCGCTGCTTGTGACTACGCTTGGTCTCCGCTGCCAGCTGCGGGTGTAGGGACATCGGCGATCGCTTTGTTCCAGTCGATGGCGTTGTTGCACGTCCTGTAAGTTCTGCATCGGACTGCGTGGAGGGCCCATAGCTAGAGACAGAGACCGAGGCAGTCTCAGGGCCAGCGCCAGAGCTGTGCTCCTCGGAGCTGAGGCCCGCAGTTTGTGCTCCATTGTAGCTCCATTGGGACAGTGTCGCCTCTGTCTTGCTCGGTAGCGATGCCGCAGAGTAGCTGATGTGCGCGAGCGCAGTTTGCAGCACTTGTAGAACATCCTCCTCTTTGACTTCGACCCGAGTGCGGTCCTCCAGTCTCGCCACCATCCTAGCCTCCGTTGCTTTCTGTCCCTCTGCCATATTTTTCCTTCTGCTCTTTTGCTCCCTCGCCCACTGCTGCCACCTCGCCATCTCTCTGGCCTTGACAGCGAGCACAATCCTTTCGCAGTTGCGACACACGCGCTCGCGAACCACGAGGCATTCATCAGGGAGGATCACCAAGCGCTTGTTTTCGTGGGAGACGATTGTGGGCATGCCGAATGCCCCGAAAAGCTTCTGGAATACTGAACTTGCGGAGGACCGAGCCAACTGTGACGACTGAGGTCCGACCCTGTCCCCGGGAGAGGAAAAGCTGACGGCTTCATCATCATCGACAGGAGCAAAGTAACACAATGTTCCGACAGAGAGATCGAGGGACTCCCGGGTGTATGTGCATGTTGAGGTCTGGGTGCAGGGCCGTGTGCCTAATTCGAGATGGAACAGTTTGAGAAGGCGCTGGCAGAGCGATGTAGGTTCCTGGTGACTGCTGTGACATCGTTGCAGAGCAGCCCTGGCTGAGGGGAGCGGGTATCTCACCCTGTTACCTCGCCTCTGGTGCTGATCGGTGTCTTCGCCTTTGTCGAACGTCTCGGCTCCAGCCGAGGGTCGCCTGCCAGACTCGATCTTTCCCTTGACTCTGCGACCCTGTGCCTCGTCCAGTATCAAAGTAACGTATCCAACAGCGTGCTTCTGGCAGAAGCAGCATCTACACCTCCAGCACCGGGTGCACTCCACGATCTCTGGAAGCGTCCCCAGCCTCGCCCACCGAAGGACTGCCATGGTGCTCATGGATAGGGCTGCGCAAGTCTTCCTTATCATCTCGGTTAAGCCTTTGACAAGATCGCCGGTGCCTGTACGGGCCGTTCTGACATTGCACTTGGCCACGAATACAAATTGTACGAGGATGCGCTCGCAGTCAGCCTCGGAGCACCAGCGCTCGGCATCTGAGTCATTAGGCACATCCACTGGGTACCCCCAAGAGCGGAGAGGCAGAGGCCGAGGAAAAGTGGTGGCCATGGAGGCCCAGCAGGAGTCGGGGCCTTGAGAAGAGAAGGGTGACTGCGGCTGAGAATTTCAGAAGCCAGCGGCGTCTTGTAGAAGCTGCAAGCTCTCTTGATCGCTTGCGGCAAGCAGAGCCGAGGCAAATGAGGCGGCATTGTAGTGCAGGTCTTGCGAAAGCGATGGACAAGGAGGAGGAGGAGGAGGCGATTCAGCGTCTATGTGTACCTCCGATATCGGACAGGGAGACGAAGCAATTTGCCCTTGACATTCTTGTTGGTCATCCTGTGGCGTTGAGGCGAATAGCGGCGCAATCAAGGCGGGGAGAGGCCGATTCATGAAGGCACGAGGTGTAGGCGAGCCCTGCGACACACTACCGTCTACTGGTTACGAGCGACCTCACCGGACGGCAAAGTCGCCTTTTCGGTTTTGCCTTTGGTCGGGAGGTGGATGTGGACTTGGGAGGAGTTGTCCAGTTGAAGTAGGGGGGGCGCAGTGGTGGACAGGACAGCGAGGCGCTAGCGAGTGTATTGACGATGCATCCTGTAAGAAGAAGAAGGTTCCAAGGGCAGCAGAGTCCGTTTGCTCTCATACAGTAGTAACCGGGGTCGCGGCCAGGGCATTCGAGCCGTCCGCGATGGCCACGGCATTATGCCTGAATCAGAGCACTGACCAAAAGACGAAGGAGGCCAGGCACCGTCTCGAGGGCAAAGCGATGAGGTCCGAGATCAGAGCGAGGCGAGGCCTGGCCTCTGATCGGAAGAGATTAGTTGATGGTCCATCAAGACGCGGTAGAGCAGGATGGAGCGCAAAGAAAGAGGACGAATGTGTGCGAGTGCAGGCGCGAGACGTCGAAGGATGGACATGGTGATCCAGGGAGGAGGGAGTGCGAGAGGTGAGAGGCATTGCGTGGGGCATTGCCTGCCGGGTGCCGTTGCTGTTGCCCGCTAGAGCAAAGGGCGATGGGAGGATGTGGCCTGTGCGTGCGTGCCTTGAAGTGAGGGGAGCAGGCGGGCAAGACGACGGAGCTGGTGTAGGGCTGCTGCTGCTTTGCAGAAGAGACAGTGTCGTTGTCAGTACCGACGGAAGATGGCAGACAAGAGGCACTCGGCGTGGTCACGACTGGGACAGCATATTTCAAGAGCTCATAGTACAGACGAAGCAAGAGCTTAAATTACAGACCAGGAAGTGGAGTGGGAGCGATGCAAGAAGACAGAGACTTGAAGTGAGAACACAGGCAGGCACGACTGGCAAAGGTGGAAGCGGAATATCTCCTACGAGGCTCACTGACCGTGGTCAACGACGCTCTCGCTCTCGCTTTCGACACCTTGACGCTCGCCTTCAGACGCGGAGCAACCCAAGGACCCGACAAGTTGAAAGCCATGGGAAGCGGACGATGCCCTTGAGCTAGCACCGTCGCGACGTTCGGTCCCTGCAGGCTGATCGCCTCTGTATCCGAAAGGCCTCGTCACCACCCTCGATGCAGCCTGAGCGTGAACCGTGGGAAGTGCCAGCCGTCTTCCCGTCTCAGGCCGGGCCTCGAGATCGAGTCGACGCTGCAAAGCTCTCTCTCTACAGCGGCTTAGACGGTGCGCAAAGCGGTGGACCAGTCGGTCCGAGACCACGGTCTCCCCCGGGAGCGATGGGGCGCCAAGGGCGTCCAGCACCCGATCGAGCTCGTCCAGTAGGTCAGAAATGCCGTCAGCCACGCCTGACTTGTCGTGCTCCTCCTGGATCGCAGCTTCAAGGGGACGGCAGAAGGGCCGCAGGATGGTCAGGGAATGCCCCGGCAGCTTGATCTTCTGCTTGAACGTCCTGAAGATGGCCTCTATATTGGCGATGGCCATGTCCAGCTGCTGTCGCGCCGAAGAAGCCGTTGCCCCCGCGGAAGGCCTCACAGTATCCTCAAGATATGAGCGGAAATGCCTGAAGAGGCACCTGTCCCTCTTCAAGGCGTCTTCCTGATATCGTGTGGGACGAGCCAAATGTTAGATTCACATTGGCACTGTGGCACTAGAGACCCTTTCACTCACCAACGCCGTCCTGTACTGCTGCTGCTGCTGCTGACTCCGCATGCGCAGCTCTGCCGGCCTCGGCAACACCACGCTTCCAGAAGGCACGAAGGTCGCGCCGACAGTGGCGTCCTCGCCTTCGTCCTCGCTGTCCTCATGGTAAGAGATGGATTGGTCTTCCCATGCTTCCGCGTCAAACTCTCCCGAGGCTGTCAAGGCAGCGCGAGGCTCCGACTGGGACGTCACATCTGTCCAGCTGCTCCTCCAATCTGCGCCGGATTGGCTAGTCTGAGGCTGTTGAAGAGGAAAAAAGAACAGCGGCTACAGTGTCAGACGAAGCATGTTACCATCTTTCCCCTTCTTCGCTTGCCCGCCCATCGTTTCCTGCCGACTCACCTGTAGCTCCCAAAACTTCTTTGCGTCTTTTGCTCTTAATGTCGGCTGTTCTCCTACAGCGAGAGCAGGATTAAATCTGGGCGTACTTCGCAGATAGGACCGGAGATGTATTGTGCCATCGTTGAATTGAATCCAAGCGTCTTCAGCATTGAGTTCCACCATAGTGTAGTGAGGTATCAGATTGCTTTCAGGTGGAACGGGGGCGGGAGTTGCGAGTTGGGAGAATCTGGACTTTGGCGATGACGATCTCGTTAGTGGGGGGGTCCTTGTCGAGGAAAGATTTGGGCATCGACGGGAACTAAATCCAGCATAGCTTGCTGGCGACAGTCAGCCGGCAACGACGTTTATCGGAGCAACAGCAACAGGGCACAGACACAGATGACTTGCCCCCCCTCCACATGCTTCGAGATGCAGGGCACAACTGGGCTGAGGGCACGCAAAATTCCACGGCAACAAAGTGAGTTGCGAGCTATTGCGTGACCTGAGGGAACCCCCTGGACGGTCGTAGAGCAGGGGAGACTAAAGTCTGTATGCCTTTCGCCCGGAATCCGACGAGGACTGTAGTCCGGAGCGGGTGACCTGGATTATACTATGCTGGCGTTGAGCGGAAGGGTGTGGTACAGTATACTGGCTCACAGGCAGAACGGGGCGAACGCACTCCTCTAGACTACTCTAAAACACTCTGAAGGCGATGACGATGATATGTCTGAATTGCTGCTCGTAGCGAGGCAGACGAGACGGATGGGTAAAGTACAGAGCAGTGTGTATTGGAACGGAGCCAGCACAGGGAGTAGGGGGATGTAGCCCAGTGAGATGTCGACATAAGGTCGTGATGAGACAGAGAGATGGTAGTCGAGTCTGGATGGCTCCCATGGAAGTAGCCAATGGACAGGGAAAGAGGAGCGATGGCTGCCAGCGCGCTCTGCAGGTACCAGGGTGTGAAGGCATGGAGCCGAAGTCAGAGACATTGGTCTCTAGGGAACTTCCTCCTCGTCCAACTTACGTGTGTTTGATTCGAGAGAAGGTGAGACACGGTCTGACCTTGACTTGATCGTTGTACACAAGTGTAGAAGCGTTTCCGATGAGTGTGGCTGCAAGGATCAGTCGCATGATGGCAGAGATCGTATGTAGTGGCGGCTTGGAGCTGTGAACAGATAGGGAGAGTGTTCGAATCAGCGGTTGGGTCGTGGGCTTGGGCATGAATGGTACTACGCACCTGACAAAGTGATAATGCAAGATCGTCTTGTCGTTGAGAGCCATGGGCCCTGTTCTATGGGAGACGATGATGAGCTTCTTTGCTGGGCGCCACATACACACTTACTAGGCGAGAGGAGTGTGATCAGCTTTCCCCACCCCATCGTGGTTGATGTCTTGCAGAATGGATGGAGGAGGGTACTCTGATTCTCACAGTCGGCAGGTAGCTTTGAAGATATACTCCGACGTGCTTCGCCCCAGTCTATTCGCCAGCCTTTGAGCTACGTAGCTCAAGGAGGGTACTCTGATGCTGGCACTCGGTGGGTAGCTTCGAAGGTACCCACCGACGATGGTCATTACCAGTCTTTCTCCGGCCTCCAGCCGAATCGCCGTCTACCTTACACTTAGGGGCAGAAGAGATGCAGACCGACTCTCAGGCTCGCCGAGTAGCTCATTTGCTTGCCGTCTAGAGGACTCGGGCTGGCAGGAAGGGGTGGCTAGGCCATTGGTGTGGTTGCTGTTGAGATGGCAGTCGTGAGTGTGTGGATGGCCGAGGTAAGAGGAGAAAAGGAAATGGTGAGGTTTCTTATGTAGGGAGGGTGAGCAGCTGAAAGGTCTCTTCGGGGATCCAAAGCAATGCCCCCTGGCTTTGACGCCCTCTGCCCCTGTAACCCGCTCAGCACTCATTTGCAGCCGCAATGGTTCCCCCTTTTTCCCCCTTAGCTCCCTTGTCCGCCCATTTGCTTCCACTCCTGACCGAACCGACGCCGTGATGGATGGTAATCGCTTCTTCGGCCTTGACCTTCCTCGTCAGGCTGTGTGTAGGCTCATTGTCGCATCCGCACCCAGAGAACCACTAGCAGTCCAAGTCGCCCACGGCCCGATGGGTAGCCTAAGCTGCACCCTGTGAAACAACCTAGGCAGCATCTCCCCCTCTAGTGCCCGCCCCGCGTGGGTCGCGTATGCGCCTTCGGAGTTGCGGGTGCTCGAAGGCGTGCCTGGTGGGCTAATTTGTGCGCCTACCGAGGACTGGTACCTAAGTGGCGAGATGAGAGCAACGTGGCCCCGTCTCGCTCCGGGTTCCGCCGAGAATTGACCTGCTGTGACAAAGGGCGGACTTTGGACCCGAAGAGACTTGACTCACAGCGAACATGGCCTCGCATCGACTCATATGCAACGCCTGACGCAAGCTATCCACAGCAGATGTGAGAATTGGACTTCGACTGCGATGCAAGTAAAGTGGCACCGGTGCCCCTTGCTCTGGCCAAATCCACTCGCCTTGCCCCGCGTCCACCAATACAGAAGTCTTGCGGGTGGTACAGAGTGCTCTTCTCGCACTTCGGTCCCATCCATCCATTCATTATTGGCCCACATCTCACTTACTCGCCTCTCTCGCGGTCCCACATTGACACACGAGGGATGGGCAGTACGCAGCCGGTGCGCCCTCCTGGTCTCACCTCCCAGCTGGAGTCTCCCGCCGCCTCTGTCCCCGCCAAGAGGGAGGGTAGTACCCCACCATTGGCAGCTAAGCCCGAGCGAGAGGCCGAAGTAGACTCAACATCGCAGCCAATCTCGAACAAACGGGTGCGTGTCACAAATCCACTGCTACGACCACGACATGGACTTATGCCACAGACCCTTCCGAGGTCTGCTACTGTACTTTATAGGCCTTCGGGATCCGCAAGCGGTGCAGCCCGTCCATTCACGGGTGATGCTCTGACAGCTACCAGTCCCACCGTGTCTTCCTCGGCAGCTCCACCCTCGTCGTCAACCCTATCCGGCGGTGAACAGCTGCAGGAACGTTCGCACCCTGGCTTGCTGCTACCTTCTCCAGTGGAGCATTTACCGTCATCTGGCCTCCCTGGCCCACTTGCAGATCTCCCGCCGCAAGCGGGCCCAGCCTTGCGTCTGCCCCTTACTCCCATGAGCTCAACACTGCCTCTTCCCTCCTCTACGAGCTTCGAGTCACAAAAGCGCTGGCGAGGGCTGCCATGCGCGTCTCCCATTCCCCCATCGTACGAAGGACAAGACGGGAGAAGCATACTGCCCCTCATGTTTCCCACCAAGCGGCAGGCTAACCGCTGGGCCAGGATATACATTGGCGGAGAGGATCCGGAGCTAGCTGAGCGGCTGTCACTGAGCCCTTCAGGAACGGGAGCAGCAAAAGCACCAGCCGTAGAAGCAGGACAGTCAGACGAGGAAGCATCCGAGGGCAGTACCACCCCCGGCGCTGACACAAAGAGGACATCAGCAGGGGTCTGGCTGACACGAGGAAAGAACGGTGGTCGACCAGGAGATCTGGAGGTGAGTACGATGACAATGACCAATTCGTCTGGTCTGAGACCTCCGCAGTGCTGTGCAGTCCGTCCTCACGCAGAGCTGCCTTCGCTTCCTCCTCTATCTCGACTTTCACCTTGACCCTGACCCTGTGTTCACATCTCCAGCTGCGATGCACACGGTATAGGCTCACGAAGTGTCATTGGACGTTGAAGGTTACACGCATTTTAGCTCACGCAGCACACGACTGGACCTCCCGAGCCTCTGCGAAGGCATCATCAGCTTCTGCGTCACTACCAATCCTCTCAAAGCCACCGAGCGGCGCTCTCTTTCCCTCTGGCGACTGTGCCAGTGATTCTCAACATGATGAATACGACGTCAACTACTGCTGGTTGCTCACCATTTCTGTCACAGAGCACAGCCCGATCTGCCCGCGAGATCCGCTCTACACGGAGAGGGTTTCTGCATTTGACACTTACCTCAAGCAACAGAGCAGTATTGGCAGGGTTCCGTCTACGAAGAAGCAGCTGATTGCCTGGCTCAACGAATTCGCAAAGAGCTGGACCCCGCATTTGAGCAGGAAGGAGAGCGATCAGGGGGCCGTGGATGAGAGTACGACGAAGGTCCCTCCTGTCACATCCACGCAACAGCAGGCAGGAGTCGACAGACGCACCGTCGCTACTTGCAGAAGCGCGAGCGGACAAGCCCGGCCACATCACCTCGGGGAGTCTTCTTTTGAGACGGTACAGTCCAACGAGACCTCCCAAGGAGAGCCGTTGGCCCTCGCATTGCCCACCGAAACGATCTGCACTTCGCCTTCACAGTCCACTTACGTCAGTGCGCTCGTCTCCAAGGCTTGCACACCTGATCCTCGTACCTTTGTCTTATGGCTTTCCTCGGAGCCTAAAAAGACGCTCTGTGAGAAACTAGAGCCATATCTTCCGGACGTCAGCGACTGGATGCACGAATGGGCAAGCAAGCTGCCTCGGATCACGTCCAAGAACGGACGAGACAGTACCACCGGGGTGCTGGATCTATTTGGCCTGGTACATGTGATCGACGGCTTGATATCTCACTATCATGTGCGGATGGCATCGTCGAAGCCGGCTGAAATTGGCAGGGCTACAGCTTGTCCATCTCCGTCGGGGCTCATCGTCCATGTGTGCATGTCGGATGATACCGCCAGCACTAGCGATAGCGAAGAAGCTGTGAAATACCCAAATGGGATCCTCCTGATGTGGCCTTTGTCTCGGGATTCGGAGGCAAAGACTCCCCAAGCGTTGCTGGACAAGTGTGGTTCCGAGCAAGGCAGCGCTCTCTGCTTCTACAGCGAGATCTTGCTTGACTATCCGTCTCTGCACGCATGCCGCGCCATGCACCACTTGCTTGTTCCCCTACCCGTCCTTGGCGTCGAAAAGCGGGGAATAGAGGCTAGGACGCACTGCCCGGACGTACAGACCTCGACTCCGGCATCACTAGCTGCTACAATATCAGGTGCACCGATGAGGCCAGAGGAGAACATGTCAGTCTTGTCATTTGCCGCCACACACATCGGCCACCCTGCCCTCGCATCTCAAAGTCCCAGAGAAGAGGCCTCTCCACAGCCATCATCTACAGCAACGCCGACCCTAGAGCTAGCATCCGCGGTGAAAACGAGTGCTCACTTGCACACGCTCAAGCACTGCCACCTAGAAGAGCTCTTAGCACGCTGTCACACTCTGACCTCTCCGGCTGCCTCAGCACCTCGAGGAGAGGACCCGCGCTGGGACTCGCAATGCTTGCGCATCTGGAAGCCCAACGTACACACTCTGCAGCTGCTGCTGGAGGGGTTCCCAAACTTGGCCAGACGGGCGGGATTGGGATTGCGGGAGAACCGAGAGTAGCCTTGAAGGCTTTGGAAACGAGAGCAGCCAAAGACCGAGGATAGGCTGGCAGCGGAGAATGCAGCCAAAGGGGTAGAGGGTTGGAAAGGGGTCAATACAGCCTTGTTTGTGGCGTTTGTGCGCCTGAGAGCTCACGTTGAGTCCCTCCAAGTCACGAATCAGTCTCTGTATCTCTGTTTGGCGAGGATCTCAAGTAGCAATAGAATACTATCTGTAAGAAGTTTCGAACATGGAAAATTTGTCGTCTGAAGACAGATAGTCTTATACAGTACATGTCTAGTGGCAGAGTAACGGGTTCGGAACACCCCGTGGGAATGGAGCCAAGTGGAAGTGCAGCGTCCACTCTCTGGCATCAAGTGCACTCGTCGCTAGTCTTCATGCGCCTTGCAGGCGCTCTGGACATTGTGCTCATCCTGGTCACGGCTGTAAGATTCTTACAGTACAGAGCTGTCAATACGATACAGAACAAGCCGAGACTCCGACTGCTGTCTGGGGAGCTCGGTGTTGAAAGCGGAGAAGCCTGCATGGATTACAGTAACGAGACTGACGTGGCTCTAGCTGAGTCCCGAGCATGCCATGGTTGAAAGCGGCCCTTTCACTGTCACCTCGACTGCCTCAACTTCCCAGAACTCAATGAGCCCCGTCCTACAGTATTGGGTCACGTCCGTCAGGCGTGACTAACCTCAATCAACTGGCCACATGCCTCGCGTAGGAGCTCCAGCAGATAGATGTCGGAGTACACGGCCCTCTCGCTGTACACCTCCGTGATATCATCGGGAAAACCCGGTACCATTGGAGGGCACTCACGTTCTGCGTTCCCAGCAGCTGCGTCCAAAGACTGTCTGGAAGAAATCTTCTGCAGTCTCTCTGCGATCTGACAGAAGAGAGCGCACCAGTCTTCTTGAAGCTCCCGCCACTCTATGCTTTCCTGCTGTCGCCGCTTGATCTTGTGCTCCAGGTATATGTCCATCGGCCGCACGAAGCTAGAGGAAGAGTCGCCGACGATGTCCTCACAATCAGGCGCCCCGCTAGGAGCCGAACCGATGGGCCGTGAGAGGATGTGCTTAACGAGGTGCGCCGCCTTGACTTTGTTGTGGGTCCTAGAGGGCAGGGGGCTGGCGTAGTCGAGCAGGTCCGGCAGCCTGTTCTGTCTCGCACTCAACTGCTTCTCAAGAGCCCTGAGTGTCTCACATGCGTTCCGATGCCATAAGGAGAACATTGCGTCTAATTGTGCGATCACCTTCTGCAGCCACACGAGGTCGACATCCTCCCCATGGATCGAGGAGCCATGGGGATCCTCAACGAGCTTGCGCATGCAGCTGTTCATGCATTCCAAGACATCCTTGTCGAGCGCCAAGGCCATCTGCTGTAGAAACAAAGATTGAGAAAAGATGACCGTAAGTGGTTGAGGGCTGATAGCATCTTCCTTTCTCTTTCCTGCACATCCAGTACTGGACGCTGGCCCGCCGCACTTACTATATTCGCTTCTAAAGCCAGGCCTTGGTAATGGACACCGTGGTTCAGATGCTCGCCCTGTTCCTGGTAAGCCTCGTGGCCTACAAATTTGATGCAAGTCATTTCGGTTAGCCGCAACCTCCCTCGGTCTTCGCAATCTTCCAGCATGGCTTGATGCTCCGAGGGGCCCAGTGCAGACCCACCCGCAGACGCAGTTGCGATCGGCAGAGACCTCGACATGTCGCCAGTTTCGTTCCACTCAGCTGTGATGTCAAAAGGTCTTACGATCTCATCGCTTGTCAGTGCTGGTAGTTGGCAGGGTGCTGACGATGCTGGTTTGGGACGCTGCCATGAAAACTGCCAATCAAGCTCCCTCAGCTCAGTCGCCTGAGACGTCCGTGATACAGTGAGGAACCTGAATGGTCAGCATGGTCGTTACTCCGGTAGAGGTAGCTCTGTGCTTGAAGGCTTCCCAGGCTACAAGCAGTGCCTCAACTCACCTCGGTCTTGCGCAATGCCGCTTGAGCGGCACTGGCAGCCGGCAAAATGTGGGACCCGGCGCGCAGGTAGCCTCTGAAGTAGACGCGATGAGCGTGCTCAATGGTACACAGCTCAGCCAGGCGCTCCATCTTGCTCAGATGGCTGACCCTGCTGAGGTACTTGTATCTGCGCGCTTAGGTGCGATGTACTGACAAGAGAAGAACATTGACCGTGCTCGACGTCTAACTTCCTCCTCAACGCACCACAGCTCAGCTCCCTGGCACAGCCCGAGACGAGCGATGGTGCAGGGGAGCGTGTGCCCAGAAGCAAAGTCGTGGAAGTGATGCGGAAACAAATCAACCTCCCTGCATGCCCCTTTGCAAGCCCTGTCGGACTTCGACGCAGTTCCTGGCCCTCCTCTAGGCAACTACAGTATCGCCTGAAAGTATTCTTTCATCGTCACTCACCACCCACGTCTTTTTCCCTGCTTTGCAATTGTCACGCTCTCTTTACAGGACCTTTGCATCTGCTCTACTGCCGACACCGGTCATGGAAGCGTTGAATGAATGGCCTTACATCAAAACCGCTGACAATGTCCTTCGCTACCGCCCGTGGCTTCGCATGCATCACTTTACGCGCTCTGGTCCCCTCGATTCCGACCCAGACCTCAGCGCCGCCGGAAGCCTGCTGCATCAGGACAAAAGATGCCTCAAAGACGTATGGTCGTACTACTGGCCTTCAGTCCCGAGCGGGCCCAAGCCGCAGAACGGACGTTACTTGAGGGCAGATTGCGCTACAGCGGAAGGCAGGAAGGTGAGGTGCGCTTCCAAGGCCACGGACGCTAGTGCCTGGACGCCTCGCCTGAGTCAGCCAATGGCCTCGACGCCGCCAGTAGCCGCCAGTCAGAGGTACGAGCGGTCAGTGTCGCCGTCCTCCTGGACGACTTCCTCCTGGAGGTCAGACTCTGATGGTCGAACGGAAGGGAGGGTCACAGCGATGTCACCAGTGCGCACACGCTTCCGGGCCCACGACACGTCTTTTGCCCAGGCGGCACCCGTGGCCAAGTGCAGGGAAGCGTACGAGCGTTTGCCTGAATTCGAGAAGGTGAGTGCAGAACGCGCGACGAGGAGCAGGAGACTTGTCTACTGCGAGGCATCTACTGATCCTGCATGAGCAACTCCACTCCATCAGGTACGCGGCCCCAAACTTGCGTCCAAAAGCAAGCAGGACTTCAATCCCTATCTCAACTATGGTTTGGAGCACTACGACGATGCCCTGCGGGAGTCGAAAGAGCTGATGATGAAGTATGTGGAAGCGCTGTCGAAGCGGCGTGACCTGACTGCCACGGTCATAGTGCTCAGCCTGCAGACGTTGCAGGACAAGCTGGCGCAAATCTTTCCTCCGCTCCAGCTCAGCAAGTTACAGTGGCCAGAATGCGGAACAATGGATGCCACCTCTTTTGACATCAGTGACACCTGGCGGCAACCTTTCAGCGTGGAGCCCGCCTTTTTGGCTGCCCTGTGCAGGCTTGACACGACTTTACAGCGTCTCGCGCACGAGCTTGAGACTGATGGCGGCTTTTTCAAGACGCCGTGGCCCGCAATGGTGACTGTGGGCAGGGTAGAAGCGCTGATGGTGATCAACATCTCGCAACTTCAATACGTGGCGGCGAGCGTACTGCGCCTCGAGGTGGGAGATTGTGGTGAGCGGCCACTGGGAAGTGAGGAGGTTGCAGCTGCTGCTGCTGCAAGGAAAGCAAGCTTGCGGGCGGCCAAGGCCAAGAGGCAGCGTACGGAGGTCAGAGGAGCAGACAGCGAGGTATCCGAAGATTCTCGCGCCGGAAGCTCAAGAGACAGAGAGGATCAGGAGAGCAGCCGCGGTCATCACCTCCAGGCGTACGACCCCTTCGAAGCCTGGGAGCATGGCGGAACTGGGGCGACCTCCGAGTTCAATTCGGCGGGTGATCCCTCTATCGAAGCGCTACGAGGGATGGAAGCATTCCGAAACAGCAGCCAGCCATCGCTGGGCCTGGATCTGAGTGAGCAGACTCTCGACGACGATGAGGACGGGAACGATAGAAACGCAGCTGTGGCTGGCGATAAGGGAGTAGAGGAGGAGATGAGTGTGACGAGGACGGCGCAGTTGTATAAGCATGCATGCGTGATGCATATGAGAGCCTCAGGGGCGCAGGTTGGGCCGGTGCCCTAGAGTACTGTAGCCTCAATGAAATTGTAGTCCGTACTAGTGCGATCTGACGGGGTAATGTGAGGCGTCGGGGACCGGGCTGCTCTGAATTACAGCGACCCACGTCGACGCCACCGCCGTTCCGAGCCGTGAGTTCTTGCATGCCATCAGTCACGCTCCGGTACTGTACCATTCCGGAAAGCTGGGCACCATCGGACTTTGGGAGCACAGTGCTGGGTGATGAGTGACAAGATGAATGTAAAGGTATATTGCCTCCTAGATCTCCTAGGAGGGATGCAGGAGATGTGTGTACATCGTATGGGTATCAAGTAAGATTCCATGCCCTCGGTCGTGAAGCGCCCTCGCCACGCCTCCACCTCCTCTTATTTGTCGGGGGAGAGCTTCTGGGGTCCTATGGTGAGGCCAGCTTCTGGTGGACCGCTCACGTCATCGTCTAGTCTACTCCCTTCGTCAACGTCTCTTCCGTAACGTCTCTTCCGCCATCGTCTCGTCTGCTGGCTTCCCCTCATCGGTGCGCGCATCTTCTGCTCGGCTCCAACCTCCTTCATCTGCTCGAGTTCATCCTCCATCTGCTCGTCCTCGTCCTCCATCTGCTCGTCTTCGTCTCCGATCTCCTCGACTTCGTCCTCGGTCTCCTCGCCTTCGTCCTCGATCACCTCGACTTCGTCCTCCATCTGCTCGTCTTCACTCTCCATCTGCGCGTCTCCATCCTCCGTCTGCTCGGCTGCATCTTTTAACAGCTGAATGCACGTCTCGAAGCACTTGACCTCGGTGGGAAGTACCTTATTGGGCACTAAGCCGTTCTCGGTCTGCAACAGGCGGTTAACGATGTCCTGTACTTCACAGCTGAATGAACTCGCTTCCAGGGCCTGCACCCTAGTCTTCAGGGTCTCGAGAGTTACTTCGCGTGTGAAATGAAGTCCAATTTCTTTACGAACCTGCTTTTGGGCGCCGCGGATAGTCTTTTGCAAGGCCAGCATCGTTTTTCTCCACTTCCGGCCGGTATCCTTACAGAGATCGTTCATAGTCTGATGGGGACATAGGTCACGAGTCCTAGTACTGTCAGTCAGCCTGGATTCGCCAAAGCAATTGTCGGACAACTCACAGTGTCCATAGACTCCCAGTTCTCCCAAAGGGACAGCTTCACATTCTGCTTCAGCAGTTTCTCCGACATGCTTTCAGTCCAGATTCTCGCGTGGCTCTCGTCAGACCTGCGTGCCGTCTGCAACAACGGCAAAGAAGCGAGCAGGGAAAGTAAAAGAACAAGGAATGAAGTCAATCCTCGAGCAGCCCAGAAAGAGGCATACTTGTTGTGCCAACGGTCACACCACACTGGGGCATGCATCGCAGACCTGACCATAGCTTACTCACCTGCCACAGATGAAGGTACGTTGCACTCTCCAGGTCATCGATGAAACGATGACTGTGCACAGCTGCCTCACGTAATGTCTTGTGAAGTGTGGGCAGGCTCTTTATGATAGCTCGTCGCGACTTCTCGGCAAAGCTTCCGGCATCTCTGCCTGCGTCCTTTCGCAGAAATAGGATCCTTTCCGACAGACTTTTCATTGCCTCATTCCAGGACTGAACCGCGGCTGCGACCTTCGTGATGCACACAGGCAAGAATTCTGGGGTGCCTGACCGCGTATCGTCCGCAGCTGCCTTGATTGTCGCTTCAGCCTCCGGCAATCTCGGTTGTCCTCGTGGACACAAGCCCATTCTCGCATTTCCAAGGTCTATTATGAGGAGGGTGTCCTCATCACCACGAAGAACGCGCATGTTGCCATCATTGATATCGCGGTAATGAATCTCTCCTCTTGCTAATACGAGCAGCTGCTCCGCAAATTGCTTGTGAAGATTTGCGAGTCGACGCGAGGAAGTGTATTTCCCTATTGGATCTCCAAGATGCTGACGAGTCACCAGGGCACACATAGCTCGAGCAGGGAATGCGGAAGCAGAACCTGGCGTCAACCTGTCTGAGGTCATTCGCTGGAAGTCAGCTGGTATCTCTGCCAAGCCAACCGGTACCGGGGCGAGTGGTAAGCCCTGCCGCATAACCGGATCCTTCTGAATGGCAACGAGAATCATCAATTCATGTGCCACCAGATGGAAAGCTACCCATGATGCTTTGACGATGATCACCCTTTCCCTCATCACGCCGTCGACTGCACTAGCGAAGATGGCAGTACGGGTCCTGAAGGGTCCAGGACGGATATAGAGGGATTGCACTGGGACATGGATCGTGTGGGCCTTGATGTCAGCCGCTTCGTTGGCCTCGATTTTGAGTTGGCTTTGAGCCGCAAGATCCCAGTAACCAGTCAGGAGCGCGCAATGGTCCTCTAGACACAACAAGCGCAGGATCTTCACGATCTCTATCCTGTCACTGCGCTCATGAGTGTCAAGAGCTTCAGAGCAGCCAAAGATAACTGCATCCAGGTACCACAGCCGTACGAGGCTTCCGCACCACGTCATAAAGTGTATGTGAGAGGTGACGGGACGATAATGGCACATCTTGCGCTGAGAAAGTAATCCAGGGCACGGGAGGAACGTCACAATCAAGTCTTGCAGAATGGTAACGCTTTTTTACTCACTGCATAGCGCAAGCACTGCAGAGCCGTCTGCTCTGTCAAGTCTCCCCCGGTGGTCCTCTTGACCTCGATGAAGGCAACGACGTTGGACCAGTGGTTTACATTTGCATCCGCCGATGGGTTTGACCCGCGTACAAATATGTCGACCTTGTTGACCTCGGGATCCGCCGCGTCCTTTTGTCAAGGAGATGTAGTGTCTGGTCAGCGAGGGTGGGTGTACAGCTACGGCATCCACGATGTTGATGATGATGATGATGATGATGATGCTCTTCCTACTCACATTGTCCATCCTGACATTCTCCATCCGGACGAATGTGCCGTAGTGTGATTGTGGCCGTGAGGGCTGCAGTTGGCTCCGCACCGCCGCGCCCAAGTCGCAGATGTGTCTGACCAAATCCTTCTCGAGGCCTTTGTCCTTGACCGCGGCGTTGAGGGAGCCGAAGATGTTGGTGACTTGCTCGGAGGCCAGGATCTCTCGTGCAGACCGGTCGACCTCTGGGCTTGTGTTCATGGTGTAGAAGGTGGGAAAGCATCGGCCTGTGCCGTCTTTGAGGAGCGCGGCCTCTATCTGGCGGATCCTCTGGGCCAGTGCTCGTCTAGAGGTGAGGGCGGCGAAGGTGGGCGGGCTCCCCGAGATGGTCCTCATTGGCTCTGAGCTGTCGGAGTGGCTTTGGCTCTCTGTGGGGGGCGAGCACCCCTGCAAGGTAGCGGCGATGAGGGTGGGCTTCTCTGAGAAGGCATTGGGCGGCGCCGGTGGAAAGAGCAAGGTATAGGGTGGGGCGAAGCTGCCGACTGCCGCGCCTGCCTGCCCAGGGCCGGCGGTGGCCATGGTGCAGAGAGAGGTGGGGTGGGATGATGGTGTAGGAGGAGCAGCAATCAGAATCTCGCCCCGCCGTGGTGCCCCTGCTCAGCCTGCGTGGCGCGCGTGGAGGACCGTGCCTGGCGGACTGGCCCACGTGGGGCTGCGTGGCTTAGCGGCGCGACTGGTGTGAGAATGGTGAGTGGCACGGCTGTCACACCATCGAGTGAGATATACCAGACTCTCCTCACACGCTCGCACTGCCACCTCGTCCCCGCCATCGTCACTGCCACGGAGCTATCCGAGACTAAGATACAGGGTCATCTTTCACAGTCTGCCCAACTCTTGATACGATCGTTGAGGCAACACAGACTGACGAAGGCCTCGATAGGACCCCTGAGATACTCAAGTGGGCTGCTCTCTACGTGATTGTTAGCTCTTGCAAGGACGAAAGCGTGCTCTCAAGGGGCCTCGTCACCGATAGGCAGTCACCTCGACCAGAATTGGGACCCGCATCCACCTCCAGGCTCGGGAGAAACAATCCCGCGGGGATGCGGTAGTCTATGTACTGCCATGCCGTGGTGAGCTTCACAAGCGCACTGCAAAGAACAAGAGTGGCTGAAACCAGCATGACTGCTAAGACTGAATCTGTTTTTGTGTTCCTGGCCCACGCTCGTCCCAGACCGAAGAGGAGACAGTAGGATACTAGCCCTTGAGCTGGCACCAGCACTACACCTATCTACGAGACCTTCGCAGCCACACGAACAGGTAGGATCGGGTAGCTCAGAGCTTTGCCTCGTCTCTAGAGGACAGGTGGGAAGTTTCAAGCTAGCAAGTCGGGACCATGGATGCTCAGCAGCACTTCTACCGCCAAGATCTCGCACACTACCTCAGCTGAAGGACCTCGCAAGTCAGGGCTGCTTGACAGGCGCAGCCAACAAACTACGGGACTCGAGCAGATGTCTGCGAATGATCTGCTGTAGTAGATGCATAAGATCACAAATGAACAGAAGCACCCTTCGGTCATCGAAAGTCTAGCAGTACGCAACGAACAGGACCTGGTTCAGCTGGCAAGTGAGACTACCGAATGGACACTGGCAGGGCTGCGAGCCGGCAAGCGGGACTGAGGCACCACAACAGTACTTCGACTGCTCTCGTGCCCTCATAGCGTAGAGAGGACAACCTTGATTCTGGCACATGCCCTCTCGAGTAGAGCAAACGATGATGCAGCGAAGGTGCGCTCCGCAAGATGCACCCCTGCCCCGCCTTGTATGGTCGTAAGGCCAGGATGTTGGCGTCAAGGCTCGCTTGCTTTCCTTCATGCAATCGAATCGCTCTCGCTGAGTCACAGTTGATGATCTCGCAAGCCTCTCGTTCTCGAAAGTAGGTCTCAGTTTGATCAGCAGCATCGATTAGGTTCTAGTGCAGGGCTCTCAGACGAGCAAACGTCATGACGTCTCGCAAGAGGATTTCGAGAAGCTTCTCGGGCCTACCCGAGCACATCCCATTGCTCAAAGGGCACGATGGTCAGAAGTTTGCATCAATCAGCGCAGAGACATTGGTGACAGCTGGGCATGTCCAGCAATACGAGTCCGATGGCCGGCATTACCAAACACTCACAACGAGAATTAGACTGCCTGTTAGCTGCGTCTATCTCGAGATGAAACGATGTATGAATATCTATAGACGGATGACACAATCATAACGACCCTCTCGAATCAACAGCTCTGACACCCGACGTCTGCTTCATTCCTCACCGGAAGCTGTATCCAGCTATCGCCAATACCGTATTTTCTATGCACCGCCATCCTTCTTCTCAGACTCTCTAGCTAGACCCAGACGGTCGGCCAGACTCGTAGCCGAGAATTGCCGTCCAGAAGCATGTATCCCGCATCCAGGTCCAGCAGCAGTGGGGCCTCGTCCCGTGCGTACAGTGCCATTGTGTGCCTGGCTGCTGCTTTGCTGGGCTCTAGCTCTGGCCTCCTCCCTGACTTTACGAGGTGAATGCCAGATGGTACTTCGGGCAGCGGCTGCTCTCAAGAGCTCCGCGTTGAAGGCTTGGACTTCTTGATTCGGCAGCCGTGGTCGGCAAGGCTCGGATGCCTTCTGCTGTTTGATGAAGGTCATTGGACCGGCTGATGCGCCTGGAGGCAAGGGGATTGTCTGTCTCAGCGCCAAGCAACAGCATACGCTGGCCAACGCGACTCACTGTACTCACTTCGTACAGTCTGCCTCATGCCGGGCATAAGGGTATCCTGCTTCGTCTTAGCGGGGATCTTTAAGATGCCCTTGTCCTCCTTCTTGGGCCTGTTCTGCGCGACGCTGCCATCAGTGCGTCTAGGCAAGTCTGCTCGTTCAAGGCTCACCTTGAGAGGACTCAATTGGTCTGAAGCGGGCAGGCGTGGCGGAGAGCTGTGGAAGGAATGTCTCTGTCTGAAGTCTGGAGGAGCACTATCAGATGCTTCGTCTAGAGGCGGGGAGATTGAGGCGGAGCCGGCCTCCTTGCCGAAGAAGATGCTGAAATGTCGCTTCATGCCTTGCAAAGGATGTTGGTGACGGCAGAAGCGGCGCTGGACTTGGGGAAGGACCTGTAGATCTCTGGGGTGATATCGTCACAGACTTGGATGAACCAAGGACAAGATCGATCAACGAGGCCGGCGTGGCTTCTCACCCTCAGGTGCGACATATCCCGGAGCGAGCGAGTCCTTGCTTGTTTTGGTCAGTCGAAGTTCTTCGGCCGGATTCGCTCAGGTACCTCTTCTTGGAGCAATTGCTACCACGACGGAGTTCCTCTGGTTCCTGAACATCATTCGCAAATGGCCTTTGGACAGTGAGGTAGGATGAGGCAGTGAGACGATGCACTCACCAAGATACGCATTGGGAATAGCCACGGTTCGCATCCCTCGCAGAGCACCTGACCCTGGCGTCCTTCATCCTAACGATCTGGTGGTTCCTCCCCCATCTCTAGATGAGGAAGTCGGAGCGCTACCTCCTCGAGTCTCCGGCGAAGGTTCGAGGACAATGATTTCAATGGGCCTCCGAGAGTTACCCCTGATCACGCAATAGCCTCGAGTGAAGTTTGTCCCTGTGGACTCAATTTGTCGCTCTATACCCGCTAATTGCTCTCGGACGAGGGACCCCCTCGCCCACGTTGCTCAAGCGCCCGCCCTGACTATTGGTCAGATATCTCCCACTGCTCAGCGATCTCTAGACGGCTGGTCAGAGATCCTCCACTGGCCAGCAATCCCGACCCATCAGCTAGATCCTCAAAAGGCCCTGATGGCCTTGATCAGTCCCTTGCCCCCTCCTCCACTCATCCTTGAAGCTACCTACTCCCACACCCGTCCTCGGAGCTCGACTGACACCAGCTCAACCTCGCTCGCCAATCAGCCTCATCTCATATATCGCTATGGACATTCAAAAGGAGGACTGCTGGGTTGTACTCCGTACCAACGCCTTGCCACATCTACGAAGCTACCTGCGGGACCGTCCCAACTTTGATCCTGCCGGCCCGCTCGAATGTCAGAAGGGCCTGGGCGAGAAGTGGGCGAAAGAGTTTTGGGATCAAGAGGTGAGTGAGTCGAAACTTCTCTTCTATGCTTCGTGCACTGGGCACGAGCGATGCGCGATCTGACAGAACCCATCTCCGTCTCTCCTTGCCGCTACGCTGCCATGGCCGATAGCACCAGAAAGGCCCTCCTTGGCCACAATGGCTCAATGCTTGGACCGCCATCTGGAGCCAATCTGGTAGTCAATCGAGTGGTTCTACGAACTCTCAGGAGAAGTTGAGTGACTCGTTCACTGAGATGATAGAAGGCAATGGGGACGTGCAGGACTTCCCCGAGCCCGACGACAGCATCTTCTCCGATGAGGATGAAGACGAGGACGAAGAAGACAAACTCCATGTCACGACTGGGACGCACTTTGTGGCATCCGCCTCTACTGCGAGCGATCGAGACTTAAGAGGAATGCTGTCTGGCAAGAAGCTCAAGCTGTACGAGAACATGCTGGTGAGTCGAGAATATCTTCTATACCCTGCTCGAACGTCCTTTTGACCGAGTGGATCTCGCCGCCGCCCCTACGTCCTCAGGAGGAAGCGATTATGCGAGACGAGCGCTGCTTCCACGAGATCCGAAGGCACGTCGAAAGGGCGCTGCAGCCCGACACAAGACGTCGCGGGGCGATCCGGAGTGGCGACCCCCTCGTTTGATCAGCTGAGACTGATGCTGGACTGCACGAATAGGCTCTTCAACAAACTCCGCGATAAGATGAGGCTGCCACACAGCTCTGTGGACACCATTCTCCGGCCGCTGGACCGCCATCTGGAGCCCGGTGTACGAGAGGCGCATAGCAAGTCAGGCAAGACCGACGGCCTATCGGAATTGCTGGACCAGCTCGACGACTTGCTGACCGCCTTGGGTGTGCCGGCTGCACGCACAGAGACGGTCATCTCTGATCGATTGGTACATCAGTATCTGTACAGACTCAGCGACTGCCGAGAGAGGATCATGTCGCACAAACAGGATATCGATGCCAGGCGCACAAAGGCCAGAGCTGCAGCTCTGCCGAGTGGAGAAGGCGAGCGAAAGCGATATGTCTCGAAGCCCTTGGTATGCCGAGGTGGCTCCCCCACCCTGACGGCCGTCCATCGCGATGGTGCTAGCTCAAGGGCATCATCCGCCTCAGTCGGCTCTTTTGTTGCTGGGTGTAACGGAGCCGCCATTCCACCCTGCCCGCGTGCGCGCCTGAGCGCTTGTGCCAGTGTGTGTGCACTGAGCTTAAAGGAGTGGCTCTATGGCGCGTCCCGGTACTCGGCCAGGACAAACCCAATCAGAGTCAAACTTGAACCATAGAATATGCCCAGAAGGAGCTACACAGTGCTGCTTTCACATCGACGATCGGTCTTCTCTACGGCGTGTACCGGTCGTCTCAAATGATGTGCCGAGATGTGCCCTTTTCTAGGCGCATACATCTTCGGCGTCCTGCCACAGCATCAAGACGCCTCCTCCGCCAGCAACATGTGCTGAGTGTGATCTCTTCCGTTCCGGTTTCCGCACACATGTCTTCGTCGCCCACTTGTCACTTTTCCTCCTTGTCACGGCAATCGATACTACTACCACTTGCACAAGTCATCGCATCGCAGTGGTGCGAGTCAAAGCAGGTCGTGGATGGATGTGGTATTGAAGAGCTGTTTGAGAAGACTGAACATCTTCAGATGCAACGAGGGCGCTCGCTCAGGTGCTGTGTGTTCCTCGTAGGCCTGCTCTCAACGAGAAAGACTGGTGCCCGCAACAGCCAATTTCATCTCCTTGCCTGACTCAGCACATCTCTTTGCCCACCATCCCCAAGTCGATTGTCACTGTCTTCGAAGCCTTTGCAAAGCAAAGTCTGCAATAGCGCTCCACTTTGCTCTCACCTCGGACGAAGTTGAGCAAACACAGGGATTCTGATCGTGCTGCATAAAGCGGGAAGCCTGCTCCCTATAGGCCCATTGTCTGCAGCCTAGCCCAGGTTCGCTTGCTTCCGCTGATGTTCGTTCGTTCGTTGTTCCCTTGGACCAGCTTGCTCTCTTGTCTGCTTTTGACCTTTATCTGCGACACTAGAAATCGAGAGGAGCTGAGTACTGTACAGTAAGACCTGACGTTGGTTCGTTCGAGCTTCTAGCGTACTCTATCGAAAGTGACTCTTGCAAAGAGTCCGAAGCCCTTCCCTTCCTCCTTGTTCACCCGCTCCACAGCAGCCTCCCGCCCTGAGTGAGCCCTACTCTCCACCTTCCCTCGTGCTGGGAGCCAAGTCTGATCTGCCTCACACTCGCAGCGTGATCTGTGCTCTCACGGATCGCCCGGAGCGGGACGACTCGGGGTGAGACCGGAGAAGAGAGGGGGTTACAGTACAAGGACCACATAGTACCGCTCAGGCACCGATCCTCGGAGAGAATGCGAAACGCCGAACTCCGAGCGCCGAGGGCAGATTGCCGAGGAGGGGGTCAGGTACGCCCGCATAAGGCACTGCTTCAGGCACAGACGAGTCAGAGGACAAGGACGCCATTGCCACTGCAGTCGCAGACCACTTTGACGCCCACTGCAGACGTGATGTACGGTAGTGTGTGACGAGGAGTGAGTGGAGCGAGGGCCTGTGATGAGAGGTGATACAGGCAAGGAGTGACCACCTTTGCTGCACACAGTCCCCGCTTCGCTCGATGGCACGTCCAGGCAAAGCAAGCGAAAGGGCAGCGATCCATCCATCCATCCACTCGCCCATGCCGCACCCAGTCAAACAAGCGAGCTACCTCACCGGCGCTGCGCCGAAGCAAAGGCAACAGCAAAAGCAATTTGCTCGGCGGGACTTGATACAAACGAACTTCTTCTTTGCTGGGGCATCCCTCCCTACGCCGCCACGGCCCCTTTGCTGGTAGAGTGACGGCAAGAGACTCAGGGCAGTGGGCAAAAGGGTTGGCTTCCTTTGCCAGTGAGCCAGCACAGCCCCCCTCGCTGCCTCGTACATAAGGCGGTCCTCCCTCGTCGCCACCTCTCCACCCTTTCCTCCTCTTCATCCAATTCCTTTGCCATCCCTCTCTACGCCATCCCGCACCACAACTACTCATGATCACTCCTCTACGACGACGACGACCAGGACTATGATCATCACGAGCATCAAAGCGACAGTGAGTAGCCATTAGCCAAGAGGCCCAATCCAGACGTGCCACCTGACACCCTTTCCTCATCCCTCTCTTTCTCTTTCCTCAGGCTCCGGCCCCATAGAGACGACCTCCTTCGCTCACTCGCTTTCGACGTTGGGAGTCACAAGTCCCCCAGTCCAAGTCCTCAATATCCTCCCCCGCCCTCTGTAAGACAAACATGCACCCGTCCTCTGAGACTCCTCGGCTATACTACGTACAGCCCTTTGGAGAAACCCCCCTCAACGTCGACGTTGATCCAGAGGATGCACTTGTTTCGTCGAGCATGGCCTGGAGATATTGGTGGAAAAGGACTGGCAGGAACCTTTGTTGATGTGCCACGAGTCGATTCGACTGAGCGAGAGGATGGCTTCAAGGCCAACGGACGAGGGATCACAAGGGGAATCGTAGGTGCTCAATACAGCGCGAGATGAGAAGAGTAGGAGTCGCTGACATTCAGATCTTTTCTTTCCTACCTCTGTGAGCAGCGACGACCATTGACCATCATCGACAACCTCTACTGGCATCAAGTGCGACAATGCGACACAAGAAGCAGTACAGTGAGTACTCGAGTCGTGAAGAGGCATGGTCACGAGCGACGACTGACTAGTCTTCTTGTCTCTCTCTCTCTCTGCCCACAGCTCAATGACGCTTCTTCACCATAGCCATCGCCCTCACGATCACCCTCACCATCAACGCCATTTCTCGCACTCGCAACGATATCCATCACTCCTCTTCATCACCCCTTCACTTCCCTCGATCGAGCGCTGCCTTGCCTCGCATGTACTATTGTATACACACCTGTAGCCTATATCCGACATGCAGTCCATCAGCACAACACTGCTGACCAGCCAATACTTCTACGTTGACCTTTAGCTTGTGCGATGTGACGATTCTTCGAAGAGGGAAGATGACCTGGGAACTATGTCTACGCACCCGCGATGGTCTGCAGCGAATGGCCGTGATCGCAGTGCACGGCAAAGAGCTTCTCTCTCTCTCATTGTGGCAAGCAAAGCTGGCGCCGGGGATAGAGATACGAGTACCGCAGGTCTACTGTACCTCCCTGCTCTGCACTCTGCGACTTCGGTCAGACAAAGCATAGCAGCGACACTGCTCGAGCACACGAACGATCTCGTCTCTATTGTCACGTCAATGCTGAAGCCGGAGACGGCCTCGTAGAGAGCATTCTGTCCTTTCACCTTTGCCTCGTTGATGGGGGCAGACAGATCTCAGAAGAGGTGGAGAGCTACTGTAGTGCAGGCCGTCGAGATGCAGAAAGGACGCAGAGCAATCGAATCGGTTACACGATCAAAGTGGGGTTCCAGCCCACGGAGACAGCAGAGAGGGCTGGTCGCACAGTACGGTATTCTGGCTTCGGCTGGAAAATTTCACTATGGCTACTGTACTACTCCTGCTGCCGACCTATAGGCGAAGGGGTTCGCATCGCCAGCGAACAATTTGCACTACCAAGTCTGAAAAACTTCTCAGACTCGGGTGCTCGTGAGCCACAAACGGCGCTCTAAAGGGCATACGGGCCCACGAAATCTGCAGAGGACCTTGGGAAACGCAACACTACTCGTCGACGTTTCGGTCTCTGTGTCATTACGGCAACTGTACAGTGTCTGGACGGTTTAGCACCCAAAAGAAGTCCTCATACTCCCTCACTAGCTCGCTCGCCTGAATCGATTCCTCTCGAAGCAAGGAGAGTTTATGCAGTGAGTCTCAAAGTCGAGCTCGCATCTCCGCTTCACAAGAATTACCGTATACACGCAAAGCGCTGCCTACGTCGAGATGGATGAAGTCGGAATGCGCTTCTTTGACTCTTCTGGGACTGGTCACGTCACAACGAGAGGAATGGTAGCTCCGGCAGAGGTACTGAAGCACTATGCATCAGACTAAGATCAAAGCAGAACAGGAAGCTCCCGTAGCGACTACTCTACAGTACTGTACACCGATCATCGGAGAGGCAAGCCCAGATTGAGCTCCTATACTGTACTGCGCAGCGTCTGACCCTCCTACTGTACGGGACTTACTCTCTGCGCGAGCAGTACTCAGGACTCTTGTCACCTCATCGCACCTCGAACGGAGAGGGAGAAGAGCAGGGAGAGAGGCCTGCCCTTGCCGTGCGCCTACAGCCCTGGTGTAGCGACGGCTGACCAGTCAGCCTTGCTCGGCGGGTTCAATTTTGGGCGGAGCAGAGGGTAGCACAGGAAGCTTTTCACTTCTGGTTGATAGAATCCTCCCGACTTCATCAACAATTTTTATATTATTCCTTGTTGCTTCTCTGTGCAATCAAGGTGCTCCTGAGTGAACATCGCTGCGTCATTTTGACGGAGGCTATTCCTTTCCTTCCTTTCTTTGTACCAAGAGGCGTCATGTACTGCGCTTCCTCTACGCTTCACGATTCTTTTCATCCAGCTCAGCTACAGGCGAAGTGAACTACTGTACGTCATCCTCGCTTATACAGTAGCTACGTGCGAGGGAATCCCTCGCTCTGCCTGCCATGTCCAGTGGGACTGGTGCTACCCCTTCCACCCTTCCAGTAGTGCACCAGATTCCACCGCATCACCTCACTCGACGCTACGTACAGTACAAGTGTACACCCTTGACACACCGTTTCGTGTGGTGCTATCTTCATCCTCTATCCCCGCATGGGCAACTGCACCCAAGCAAGTGCTGAGATGAGAAGGTAACTTGCCCTCTCGTACTGTAGCGATCGTCGTACCAAGTACTTCCTGTTACGATACTGTACAGGTCTACTGTACTCACTGTCGTGCGGGGCCAGCCAGCAGTAGGTCCAGTCCTGTGCTGATGGCGGACCTCACGGCCTGCAGAGTGAGACGTTCCCTTTGCTGGCTGGCTGGCTTTCTCTGTTACTTTGCCTCAGCAGATTTTCAAGCGGCCGTCGTCGAAACGTTCCTTGATTCACCCACATACAGGGCCTTGATGGAGCGCAGTGGCAACCTTGAGTCCGTTTACTTGATCAAGATGGGAAGTCGTGTGGTGTGCTACGTTGCAGCGCTCTGAGCCTGTGCTTGAGCTTGAGCTAAAGCTCGAGCTCTCCACTTTGTGCATCAGCACAGTCTGCTCTGGTACTGTACAGCACCCCATCTCGTCTGGTACCTGCCGTGCAGTACCTCCTCCTTCTCACCTCCGAATCCTCAGAAGAAGTCTAGCTCATTTCAGCTGCTTCCCTTCACAAGACAACAGAGCAGCGTTGTGCGCGCTTCTCTTTCCTTCACCCTCTCCCTCTTCTCCCTCCAAGCAAGACTCCATCCGGCCTTTCCACCTGCCAGCTGCACAAGGAGCTTGGAAGAGTTACATCCAAGGCGCGTTCGAGTTTGATTCCGAGTTGCAGGTCGAAGTCCCAGTACCGATGCCAGTGCCAGTGCCAGTAGAAGTGGAAGTGGAAGTGGAAGTGCCGATGTAGGTAGGTAGGCCAGAGTTAGAGGCTTGCAAGCAGATGTAGCGCAAGAGGCTGAGGCAGAGCCACGAGGTACTGTACTGTACTGTACTGTACTGCGCGAGGCAGGCGAGCAAGGGCGAAGACGAATCTTCCGCTCCTTGCGGCCGCGCTGCGCTCGAGTTACTGTATCTCAATGAATCCGAGATTGGGGCGTCAAGGCAAATCGAGTCCGATTCAGTCCAGTCGAGTCGAGTCGAGTGGGGGGTAATCGACATTCCGGTCTTGACTCGCTTTGCTTCCACAGGTCCTACTTGGAAGGTGGCGCAGTAGAGTACAGTACTAGCAGCGGTGGAATTGTCGGTGGAAGAGTCTAGTCTTGAAGCTTTTGCGGATTTGCGATCTTGTGCAGTAGCTGGAGGGTAGCTGTAGCTGTTGCTTTTGCCGTCTGCGGCATCCGTGTCGCACTGTACCGCCTCGATTGGGCGCGAGCGGGTTCATTTGACAAGACCAATGGCCGAAGAGCCCAAGAGGAGAGATGAAGTGAGATGAGCCGGGGCCTGAGTCGGCATCGTCAGTGAGGTAATGCGGTCTATGGTACTGTAGGCTGAGGGACATGGGCCGGTGTTCGTCTGCAGAGGGACCTTGTGCTGTACGGCTGCGCTGCGTTGCGTTGGCCTACGTCTGGCTACCGCTTTCCCAGCCTCGTCCTCGCTCTCAGTGTGGAGGGGCAGTGTTTCGCTTTCTCTCCCACTCGACTCTTTCGTGCCTGGACTCCTGTTCCAGCACGAGCCTATAGGTACTCGCCCGCGCCATCGGTCTGTTGGCCAGGCGCTACGCTCATGATCGAGGATTAGGAGCACCAAGTCTTACTCTGATGGAGCCGAGAGGTATCTCTGCCGCTGAATCTTGACGTGTGCGATTTTGCTGCTCGGGGCACAGGCGAGCTGAGCTGAGCTACGATGACGAGGTGGAGGAGGGCAGCCACAAGGAGTAGCATGGAAGCCTGCCTCTGCATCCCTCTGCGAGGTCCGTACCATATCGCACCGGGTATGGGCAGCGGGCAGCACACTTGCACTTGCACTTGCACTTGCACTTCCGTCCCTCTACTTTGGCGCGAAATCGATTGTGACCTGCCCCCCTGCGACGTGCAGCCCTGCAGCTCTGGCGCACGGCATAGCACAGCACACAAGCAGAGGAGCACACACACACACATCGGCAATGTGCGAAGGGGGGGGAGAGGAAGGTGGTGTGGCTGATGCATAGATGGACGGGGGGAGAGGTGGGGACGTGCGCAGTGCAGAGAAGGGCTGTAGTGGTGATGCATGGGGGAGTGGGTGGGTGGGTGGGTGCGTGGATTGGTGGTGGAGCGTCTTTGGCTTTGCTGCGAAGAAGTCATCCGAGGCGTTTGGGATGACTCAAGGCGAAAAGGCAACCACAGACAGCCAGAGCAAAGCAGCACACACACCAGGCAGACGAGTGAGAGCAAAGGCAGAGGATCACCGGCGCACCACACCACGGCCACACCATTCACCCACGCACCCACGCACCTTCTCTCACCTCGCCTCGCCTCGCACTTGGCACACACCCATTCCAGCAGAGTCATCATGCAGCGTCAGCACCACTACCAGCCACAGCAGCCACATCTGCCCACCACCAACACACCACTCCGCCAGGCTCAACCTCACACTCCGCTTCCCTCGGCCACCATCCACCACCACTCGGCAGCTCTACCCTCCTCCTCTCCACCGCACAGCCTTGCCCTCGCACTCCCCCTCCCGCAACCAGCCTATCGCTCTCTCCCTTCATCCTCCTCCACCTCTCCCCCACTCTCAAATCCCAAACCATCAAATCCTCGTCGCCTCCCCTCGTCTTCCTCCACCGCCTGCTCCCCTCCTCCCCGCCCTCGAATACGCAAACGCTGGCTCCCAGCTCCCTCACCACCTCCTCCACCCCCACCCGTACCCGCTTCAGCAGCCACAGGCAGCCGCCTGGTCCTTCCCGCACTCTTTGAGACCAGGCAAGGCGCCGAACTTTGGGCCAGGGTGTACATTGGTGGAGAAGAGCGGGACCTGGCCACTAGGTTGGCCATTGTGCATAGGCCCAGGGCGGGGGCAATTACCAAAGGAGCGACAGAGGAAGAGGCAGCCCAGGTACCACAGACGACTCTCACTAGTAGTGGTGGCAGAGGGAAAGCAAAGGCTTCCGCTCGCAAAAGGGACCCTGATAAGCCCTGGCTAGTACGAGCAGGGGACAATAATCGTCCAGGAGATCTTGTAGTGAGTAGCAGCGACAGCAGCGAGGGCGGTACATCACTCCAAGCCTCTACAACATTCCAACGGCCCCCGGAGCTTGTCTGGTCTTCGTCATGACTCTGATCGCCTCTCTTCTACCTCTCCCTTTTGCCTACTGTACATCCCTCCTCCAGCTGCAATGCACCTCGCACAAATGCACAGGATGTAAATGGAAGCTCGTCATCTCTCAACATCTCAAGGACGCAGAGGTTGCCAGTCTCTTCCCTACGACCTCGGCCCAAGCAACCGCAACAATCGCAGCATCCGCCTCAGCTCCCTCGTCTTCTTCTGGGCCCTCCTCCTCCTCCTCCTCTTCCTCACCCTACTACTACTCCCTCTCCAATCCCATTCAATCTCACTCCCTCTTGTGCATCCGTGGGCCACTCTATGCTCAATTCTTACCAAAGTTCAGAAGCTGGCTGGCCGCACAAGAGACACCAGCTTCTTCGGCAAAAGAGGAAAAGGCCTGGTTGAAGAATTTTGCGGCAAGGTGGTGTAAAGAGGAGAGGAAAAGGAGAGAGAGGGAGGGCGAGGGTAGAGGGGAGGACATGGACATGCACACAGCTGAGCCTCAGGAAGCTCTTGGACAACAAGAAGGAGATCAACTGGAAGACGAAGACGCAAGCTTTTCGGACTACCAGCTTCCCCTGCAAGAGGATCAGGATCACAACGACCAACACGACGAGAATGACGATTGCGACTTCTTTGCAGATTTGGATGTCGATGAGCCGCTGCCGATGGCGAATGCGAACGGGGGCAGTGACTCCGATCGTGGACAAGCAGGCCACCTGGCTTCTTCTAGAGCCCTGTCGGATCACAGGGAAGAAAGCATCGACGACTTCACCTCTGCCTCTTCGGACCTCACGGGCGCATCGCACAAGCACTCCACATCTCCGCATGCGGCACAGAACCTCGATGAAGACCTCACGGAGGCCACCCCTACCAGTCTCGGCCTCGGCCGCTCAAGAGCGCGAGACACTTGGTCCGCCGCGGCAACATCGACCTCTCCTCCCTGCTCTGATGCTTATGCTCCTGCGCTGCCTGCTGCCACCACATCAAGGGCAAGATCGATATCAACATCGGTATCAACATCATCATCGACCTCACTCTCTACCTCGAGGTTCACAGGCCCGATGTCCACTTCTGCAATTTCTCCATCAACTTCAATACGGACATCCTACTCATTGTCGTCGTCAACAAGTGCGACTGGGGCAGGCAGAGGCAAAGACCAAAGCACAGCTAGCTGTCCCTCCACCCGACGTCGCTCCCCTACACCGATTCCCATTATCCCTCTTCCTCTTCCTACGTATCCTGCTCGGACTCTTCCTGCTCCTTCTCCGCCCCCTGGCGAGTCAGAACCACAAACGCTTCGCTTCTGGTGGGCCTCGGAGCCAAGCAAGACTCTCTGCGCCGCTCTTGAGCCACACGTCCCAGGCGTGACTGAGTGGGTGCGGGAAAGAATGCAAGTGCAGTACCATTCCCGGATGCGAGGGAGTGTGCAAGGAGGTGGAGGTCGAGGTGAAAGTACAAGCTCGGAACGGGGAAAGGACAAGGCACTGTTGAGAAGGTGTGAGAGTGCTGGGTGGGCTCAAAGAGGTGAAACGCACAGGAGGGACACTGGAATTGCTAGATCAGATGTGCTCGATCTGCTTGGACTGGTGCGCACTGTGGATGAGCTGATGACACGATCCCCTTGGGCGTTGCGCTCGGCAGAGGGCACTGAGGCTCTATGTGAGGGCGAGAGGGTGAGAGAGAGAAGAGAAGCGGCTACTGCTGCTACTGGGACCTCGACGTTCAGCTCTACCTTTTTCACTGGGCCTGCACCCGCAACTTGGACGTCCTCTTCCACCACACCATCCGCTACTCTCGAGCCTACGCCAGGCACTTCAGTCGCAGCCCTCAAGTCTCTACCGCACCTACCAAGTATCATCATCCACGTGCCCAGCGTCGGGGAAGCGCCTTCCTTCTCTTCTGACTCTTCCTCGTCGAGCTCATCGGGAACTTCAACGAGCGAAGATGAGAGTGACAGCGAGAGTCGCAGCAATGGCACCACCGAAGACGCCGAAGGATTCAGCTCAGCTGGAAGCGCCATCTCTTCCGCTTCAAGTACAGCAACTGCTACTGCTAGAGGCTCAGCTGCAGGCAACTCTGCCTCCCTCTGGCCGCAGGGAGTGCTGCTGATATGGCCCTCGCCGAAGGAGTCAAGAGTCCAGTCTTCTTGGGAGTTCCTAAAACGAATGGGACGCAAGGAGAAGGGCAAAGGAAAAGAGAAGGACATGGCGCAGAAGTCAAAAAAGCAAAGTAGGACCTCAAGGTCCGAGGAGCATCTTGCTGCAAATACGAAGGCGACAACCAGAGAGGCGCCTCTTGACGCGCAGGAGAGAGCTTCTGCTGCTCCCTCAAGCTCTACCGCCAGCCCGAGTACCGCCACTTCATCTCTCCCATCCTCTTCGTCTCCCGTGAGACCGCAGGAGCAAGCGTCAGAGGATCTTCCCGCCACTCCACCAAGCGTACTCGTCTTCAGCAGCAAGCTCCTCTTCTTCTATCCAAGTCTGGAGTCGCTTCAACTAAGACATGGGCTGCTCTTACCCGTCGGGGATGGGAATGGACCCGAAGAGGAGAAGGAGAGGGAGAAGCGTCGAAAGCGAGGACAAGAAGCAGAGCCGGATAAACAGCAGGAGCGGAGCTGGGGATCTTGGACGGTGGAGAACAGACAGGGACAGCAAGAGGCGGCGTTGGTGCAGAAGTCGATGCTTCCAACGGTTGGGTTGGCTTCGTCTGGAGGAAGTGGGGAGGAACCATCACCACCGTTCTACCCGATCACGACTCCTGCTGCGACTATTAGAGCCGCTGCAGCCGCGACGTCGGACTCGATCTCGACTTTGACCTCTAACACAAAGTTCTCATCCAGTGATGGTCCGCAGGTAGCAGCAACTAGAGCATTTACCGAGCAAAGCCATGCCCAAAGCCAAGCTCGAGCTCGAGCAGAAGCGACAGGTCAAGCCTTTGACTCCCTTCAAGCACCAAAAGCGAGCACGGTGACGAGGACGAGTAGGCGTTCACAGCCAAGGTCAAGATTGAGGTCGAGGGCAGAGTCAGGACCGAAGCCAGTGACGCCCAGTATAGCACAGCTGCACGCACTCGTGCCGTGCACACTCGCCGAGCTGAAGGAACGACTATCACCCTCTGGCCTCCCTTCTCAGAAGTACGAACGATCTACTTCAGCAGCAGCTGCCCCTCGTTCAGCGGCGCGCAACCTTGACCGGGCCCCCTTCTCCCACTGTCTCCATTGCTGGGAACCGAGCGCTTCCTCGCTCCGACGATTACTCGAGGAGATGCCTGAGTTGCGGAGTGCGTGGGGAGTGAGCGTGGGAGGGTGGGAAGTACAAAGGGATGCAGACGCACACCAGGACGAAGCAGAGGCTAGGGAGCCGGGAGGGGAGAGTACGACAAAAGGAGGGGAGAGGGGAGGCAGGAAGAGAAGGAAAGAGATGCATCGTGCTGGGTTTGGGATGAGGAGAAGGAAGAAGAGACGCCTGGGTGGGTGAGAGAAAGGAGGCGGGAGGAGTTGGGGACGTTGACAATGGGCGGTGACGGATGTTCGATGTCGACGACTGGGATAAGAGGAGAGCGGGGCTGCGTTGCGCTGGCTGTAGAGAAGGTGGAGCGACCTCTGTCTCGATGTCATCCTGTTCTGCCCTTGCTACACACTGCGAAATGGTATCACTAGTTCCATAGCACTCAAGGATTCACACAAATGGCAGTCGAGCCATCTACAGTACATTACACAACACGCGTAAGCATCTTCTCAGGCGAGCAAAGCAGACGTTTGAAAAAGATTACAACTCAGAAGCTGGTGGAACAGCGCTACAACGCAGGGATGGACATCAGGCCCAGAAACAGATGTACAGACGCTTCCAAACCTCGAGGCACAGTCTAGAGCCACCTTTTCACTGCATCGCACTGCACTGCACTGCACTGCACCCTAGCCTACGGCACACTGCATACTGCGTACCGCATACTGCACACTGCCCACACCGGAAGATTGGTCAGGTCCCTGTCTCCCGGTATTCCTTCGCTCAGGGCCTTGTACAGGACAGACCAGTTGTAGAGATTATGACATTAGATTGAATAGTGAAGAGATCTAGAGTAGAGAAGTGAGCGTTGAGTGGCTAAAGTACAGGTGGGGAGTAAACAACCGGAACGGAAGAAACGCGGGTGGCGATAGGTCACGTGACCCTCAACACCAGTACGGGCGCCTCCGCTTTGCTCTGCTCTGCCCTGCCCTGCCCCTGCCCTGTGAGCGACCCTACTCTGGCCGTACGATGCAGAGCTACTTCGATGATTGACGCAGTATGATCCTCGTCCTGGTGATATACAGTACGGTACAGGCTGGAGGATGTAGCGCTTTGAGGTGAAGGAGGGAGTGAACTTCGGTTCGTGCTCGTGCCTGGGCTCGACCTTGCCTTTGGCTTGGATCGGGACCGAGCTTTTGTGTGGCAGAACAAGGATCGTCTCTGATTTCGAGGGCGCTCTCGTTGGCAGTATTTCGTTTGCGTTTGAAGATAGAGGAGGGGGGGCAGCTTGACGCTTGTGAAGTAGTCCATCACAGTGCAAGCGACCATTGCTAATTTGCTCGGGCTCCGTCTGCCCTTCGACTTTCTTCTGGCTGGTAGAGTGCGAAGCGTCGCACTGACTGTACTGTACGCACGATACAGTCCAGCTCCTTCTTGGTCTGGTATGCGAATACTCCTTCTAGTCTGCGGGTGACTATCGTAGTGAATGATCGCCTGCTGGTTTGGTTGTGCGAGCCACCGTCTCGTCTCTTCTTCCGGGCTATATAGTCATCCCTCTCCCTTGGTCGTGGGTAGTAGTGGACCGTTGTGTGCTCTAGACTTTCCTCTTCTGGCTGGCTGGCTGGCGAGATGTGTGAGGCCGTACCGTACCAACCAAGGCGCGTGGAGACTGCAATGCAACGAGCCATGTACTGAAGCTGCAGTGTGCTCGCCCCCTTCCTCGTATCGTTTCGCTGGACGAAGGTTCTCTGCTATCGGGTTCTTGCTCTACAGTGCAGTGACGAATCGTGGCCTATGGCCTTTCCGAAAGGTTCTTGACCCTTTCCTCCGGACTGTTTGACTCTTGACTTTTGACTCTTGACTCTTGACAGGATAGTAAGAGCGGTATCTCTTCCTTGCGGTTCCGAGGACTCCAGTAGCTTCAGCGTCTCTCCTGCGTGACATTCGTTGAGGTAAAACAACAGTGAGGGTGGTCTGAGACTCAGCATTCCCGCATCAGCATCGTAAAGTCCCGCTCCCTGCTCCCAAGAGGATGCGGTAGTGTAGAGAGTGGGCTGCGCGGATGGGAGAAGTGAGTAAGAGGGAGTGTAGCGGCGTCAGCATCTGACGATGGTGGGGGAGCATGCGAAGTCCTTCGAAGGCAGCGGTAGCGCTAGCCGAAAGGCCTCGGAGACTCGCCTTCGAGAGCGTGAAGAGAGTACGAGGACTGACGTCTTGACTGTTCTTGCTGCTTCGCAAAAGCTGGGAGGACCACTCTTGAGCAATACAAGCCCGCACTCACCGATGACGGACGTAGGCAGTGAGCATCGTCATGAGAGTAGGATACAGCACTCTGCAGACCCAGAGCAGTGCTCTCGTTTCATCGTTCCTTCTCTCGTGCCTTCTCTCGATCGGTTGTCCCTCCCTTGATGCCTTATCCAAGAGACAAGCACAGCACAGCAGTCGTCGGGCTTGTTGTTTGGCCGAACCTTCCCAAGATCGTTTTGGTGATGTGATGAGCAAGAGTACAAGCAGAACGGTGTGGCAGGGGCGCTGGCGAAGGTACAGTAGCAGACGCTGCGACTTCAGTGGGGTCGGTCGATCGCGGCGACCAAACGAGGAACTTGGAAGGGGAAGACTGACGAAAAGTGGCGTTTTCGGCTTGGCAATGGATGTAAATTGGCTCAGCCGTGATGACGAGCGACCCTCAGGCTCAGTCCGCCCCTGCAGCGGAAGGGTGGTTGTGCTTCCGATGGCAAAGGGCAATGGAAATTTTTGCTCTGAGCTGTGCGCCCTGACTCTTGAGTAGTTCGATCGTGGGATCGTCCTTGCAGCTTCGTCGAGATGCTTCGAATGTCCTCGTCCTCGTACCTAGCGCTCTCGGCACGGCGTTTGGACAGGGTCAAGAGCAAAGGGTCGTCGTTCGCATGCTTGCGCTTGCGTTCGTGTGAGTGTGATGATTTAAAAGTGTTTTCGAACGCAATCGAAGAGTTTCAGTACATATATGCTCGATTGGACAAAGGACAAAGGTAGAGTCTATCTTCTCTACTCTGCATCGTTAGAAGTTCTATCGTAGAGCCCATCACCAGCTCGTCCGTCGTCCCCTCACATCTTCCAGACTACCACGCACTCTTTCAAAGCGTCACTTCACCATGTCTTTCCACGTTAACGAGACTGCCTCGAGGATCTCCACCTCAAGCGATGAAGTCCCCCTTCCACAACAACGACGACAAAGGACTTGCTACGAGCACCTCGCAGGTATCCTGCGCAACATCAAAGACTGGATTCCCGGACACACTCCCCCTGGAACCGAAGATCTTCCAACCCTCTCTATCCTTGTTGTAAACCAGCCGCGAGAAGCAGCAACATCAGTTCCAGTCCCTCAACCCAGCTTCACGGCCCCTCCCGCGATGAGAGCCGCGGACGATTTCCGGCCGGACTTTGGAACGCATGCAAGCCCTTCGCGAATGCTCGGAACTCTGGCTCCTGCTCCCCCACCTGTAGAGAGCGAGGAAGAGGGTATCGAAGAGGACCTGCGGAAGCAGAAGGCGACAGGCGAGAAGATCAACATCGGAAACACCAAGCCCAAGGACAAGGATGTCGAGGCGACTGCCACCACTGCTCGCATTCGCTATGCTCCCACACTTGGGTACCCCACGGTTGCCGATGTGCCCACTGCGAAGCGAAGAAGACCTGCCGCCAGGCCTCCTACGAGACGTGGCATCGCCGCGGCGGGCATTCCAACTATCGTGGTCCATGCACCTCCCAACGAGCTGGACCCTCTAGGAGCTGCAAGCGAGCAAGACGGAGAGATGGAGATGCCGAGCACTCCAAGTTTGAAGCCTGTCACGGACTCTTTGAGCTCTATCTCGGAGGAGGACATAGAGATGTAGATGCAGGGTACTGAGACAGTGAGATCTGTTGGGGAAGTCTGCAGGCGAATGGGATGGCGGTAGGGTCTAGATGCTTCATAGTCGATGGGTAGGGTTGCTTAAGTGAAGGAGCAGATGAGCACGATGCTGGCTCAGTGAGGTGAGGTGCTTGTATCTTGTCATCCAGAGTATGCTTTTGCGTCCCACACCCTTCGATGGAATGTGGACTGCTTGTTCTGTACTTGCGCACCACACCCGCCATCATGGCCAAGCCGGCGCGTGAGCTGATGCAGAAGGGCCATGACTCCCGCTACCGGCACCTGAAGCGCAGAGGCAAAGCGCACTCACCCTATAGTGTGGGCGTGGCATGAGCAGACGGAGGGAAGAGGTGGGGTGAGTTGCTGATCCGTCTCCCTCTACAATACTACCTTGCCCCGCCCTGCTCTGCCCCCTCGTGCTCCACTCCCTTCGACTAGATACTGCACCCCACACGTCTCACCTCTCATCCCGCCCGGACTGTTTCTCAGGAGACGAAGGGAAGCAGGCATTGCGTCTGTGTGTGTGTGCGTGGTGTGTGGTGTGGCGAAGTGCACAGCCGAGGTCGAGGCTGCATCCATGACGTCTGGCACGCACAGGGCGAGGCAGTGCTTAAGTTCCGTTCCGTTTTCGCCTCGCCAATCCTTGTCCATCGCGCCCGCTGCCATCCATGTCCTTTTGGCCTTCACCACCGTTCCCATCAACACAACCAGTATCGCTGACAACTCAACAGGGCCAGCACTACACTGCACTCGAGGTGCGCCTGCGCCTTGAAGCCACGCGGCCGTGCAGCACGCATTCAAAGCAAGATCATCATCTCCTTTGATGCTCATCGGTGAAGCCACGCCTGTTGTCCCTTGGCGTTTGCGCTAGACGATGCACTGCAGGAGTCATCATGCCGTACTCGAGCGCACTTGCTACTACTCTCTAGTCTGGCCCGAAACAAGCGAGAAAGCAAGCTCGCCAGACCACCGGCAGCTAGACAGACGTAGCGTCCTCCTCTCCATGCTCTTGATCCTCCACTCCTCCTCTTCCTAGGCCGGCCATAGCGGCATTTTCTTGTCCTGCCACGATTCATACAGATGCGGATGGCAACCAACTCCGCTTCCGTCTCATGCAGATGTGCAGTCCTCATGCTCCTCGCCCGGGGTCTGGTGTCCTTGATAGGCAGGGGACTTCAAGACCCCAACCACACGAGCCCGGAGCGCGAGGCAGTGGTCAGCGAGCAAGAGAAGAGGTGCAAGAGGTGGGCTTGCCTCCACGGCTTGCGCTAGCCGTACTGAACGGGGAAAAGAGACACGTCGAGATCAGAAGCGCATCGGCTGATACAGTACCGAGCAGGGTGAGGATGAGCTCGAGGCCCAGGGCGCTGCGAAGCAAGCGACAAGCCCTTCTGAAGGCCTACTGTACCTCTTTCGTCTCGGGTTTTGCGGACATGGTCCGTCAACTGAGCATTGCGTCGAAGGGAGTCGATGATGAAGGGCTAACAAGGCATCGCATTGCAGCGCAGAAGTCATGCCTCGTGATGCAACAAGAGGGCTCGCCCATTCTGTCCATCCCTCCGTCGCTGCTCTTCCTCCCTCCCTCCCTTCTCCACAATGTCCAGCCCATCCGTACCCTTGGACGCACACAACTGTAGAATCTCCCGAGTGCGCGCTCGGTCACCTCCACCATATCCACCCGTTCTCACATCCATGTTCATTCTTATAGCCATAGCCATGATCAGTGACTCCCTCTCATGAAAGATGCCAGTGCTTCTGCTTCGTTCTCGTGCTACCTGCCGTCTACGGAATCTGAGGCATCCGATTTGGCACTGACGCTGACGCTGGCCCCAGACATGACTACTCGCACAGCCTTCCGTGGTCAGCTCCAAGTTTGCCTACTAAGCAGCTCCGCCCATTGGTGAGAGTTTGTTGAAGAAAAGTGGGCATGAGGGAGCGAGGTCGCGTGAAGGTGAAGCTGTCTCCTACACCTCAAATCTGGCGCTGTTCAGATGGCGCTCTGCTGCCCTTTCAAGGACTGCTCGAGGACTGAAACTGCTCCTCGGCTGCTCGACGTACTGTGCTGCGTTGCTGATGAAGCCTCACTGGACATGTGAGAGCGCTGGCGGGTGGAGTGCAGGTGGCTTGATGCTGACCGGATGATTGGGTACAGTGCCCTTTCTTCATAGCCCGATCAGAGTCTCATTCGCGGGATCCTCCGGCAAGATGTGTTCGTGGGCAGCAGCAGCCTCGATGCTCTTTCAAAGTCAGAGGCCACATCCATCGGTGGCTAGGGCGAGAACGGTCCTGTTCTTCTCGCTACAAATTTGAGAGTCAGGCTTTCGCCAGTTGACGAGGAGCGCCTATACTCTTGACGGTGGCGCCGAAGAGAACAAGCGCAGAGAGCATCATCCGCCCTGTCTTTGCCACTTGAAGCGCGCTTAGATGCCAAGGATCGTACCTCGGATAAGGAGACACCCTACCGTTTGTGTAGCTCGCCGGCGGCAGCATCTGCTTGAGACTGGGGAACCAGCTACACGAGCGACCGAGAGGCTGATAATGAATCCCATGATTTGTCGTAGATGAGCTTGGCGTCTGTCGAGCGCTGTGAGTGAAGATGGCACCGAGACCACCTTCCCATCTTTGAATCGCATAACAGCAAGCCACCTTGTCTTCTGATGCTGGAGCTTCTGAGCTCGACGCTGATGCGGTACACTAAGCTTTATGGCGAGGTATAAGCGATGGATGGGGCAAGCACAGATGAAGTCCGGATCTCTGCGTCCGAGCAGGATTGGAGACAGGAAGGATCCTCGCGGGGCTTGAGGCTCGCGGCCGAGAGTTCGAGGTGAACTGTGCTTGCAAGCTCTGTCCTGAGGCTGAACAGCAAGAAGACGGGCATCGGATCCTCTGCTTGCATCTGATCAGCGGGAGAACGAGGCATAGGCTCGTCTGCTTGCTCGCGGTGTGGTCGGCATCCGGGGAAGAAGATCGTATATGGGTCGGGGGTAATTCCGCGGATAGGAAGTTACCCTGACCTTGTGGTGTGCTGAGCTGTGGATACCCACCTGGCTGTGGAGCGGAGAGCACGAGGCAAGGGTGGACCTGGCGGACAAGCTTGCAGTAGCAAGCGTTGAGAGCCGCATCAGTATGAGAGGAACCGGCTGCTCGACAGCGTGCAAGCTCACCTCCGGCCGACTTTGTAGTGTCCCTCTTCCGCTCCGCCCACGTGGGGCCCTGTTCGTGGCGCCTGTGCGTGCGCGCCTTGGAGACTGTCCCAGTGACCCTTTTGGATCTGCTATGACTCTCTAGGTGATGATTCTGCCGCGTAGCTGAGTGGAGCACTGGAGAGCCCCAAAGCAGATCTTCCAAAGGTATAAAGATGATGGCGTGAAGACTGAGATCGAGTGTGTAGGAGAGGAGAACGCTAAGCCACTCCTTTAAGGATTATGGGGAACAGGCACAGGATCTAATGCGGAGCCGAGATCGTGGGTCAAAACAAGTGGAATGGCAAAGTGTGAAATGTACAGGAAGTGGTGAAGTGACAGGTTAGCCAAGAAGGAAACTGGGATGAAAGGTGGCTGAGCGCCAGGTGGCGAGTCGCACTTCGGCTCCGAGGGCTCAACACAGGAGCAGAGGGAACGGGCGCATGCGCGCCCGCACGGCACACCACTGACACGCCCAAGCTCAATTCCGAGACTCGCTCCACAGCGCGGCCGCCTCGCTCATCAGGATGAGCATGCAGTGACCTCGTTGGACCCCTTACGTTCCGCTTCAGACTACCTCGTACCAGTCGAGCCTACGTTCGCTGTCTGGCTGCATATCAGTATTGAGCCGCAGCTCTCTCTCTAGCCAAAAGTCCAGTCTCCATGGAGCTGCCAATGCGACGTTTGCACCTGGCTTGCCGCGAGCCTGCATGCTTCGAGTGAGCGGCAATGCCAGTACGACAGGTACCAGAATAGGGTCCACGTTCAAAGAGTGGCGAGTGGTGCTCGGTGTTTGGTCGGCATGACAGTCGAGGCGATAGTGAGAGCCTTTCGCTTTGCAAATTCTTGCCTTGTTCAACCGGACACGACCATCGGCCTTGATTACGAGCTCTTGCTCTTCTCTTCACACCCTTCATCACGCGAGTCATTGCGCTGACCTTCGAAGCTTCAATGCTCGACTCACAATATCCGAGGGCTTCTCACTGCTCTGGCCTTGCTGCAACATTGACACACCTCGCGGCTCTTTGTGTCACGCCTTTCCAAGCGCTTTGACCTTTGTCGTGCTGCTACTGAGCCCACTTCGTCTCCTCATCCTTCTTGACTCTTTCGACCTTTACTCTCTTCAGCCTTCATCATCGTCCGCCTTTGCTCAGCAGGTTTACTACCTCATCAATCTAACACTCAACCCCTTCTTTGGCTCAGTGAGTCACACATCGCTTCAAGGCTGACCAAACCTGAGCTGCGAGCTGATGAGCTGACAGACCTTGCCCTTCTTGCACCTATCGCTAGCCATTGTACTACCTCTACCCCACCAACCTCGATTGACCTCATTTCCACAGCGACAATGCTGCCATCCGAGAGTGCGCAAGCGGCATTTAGCAGCCTACTCGCTGCCGGCCGTACCCCCCACGTGCAAGCTCTCCGGATACTGTTCTTGTAGAGCGCCATCGGTATGGCCGAGCGAGACGACAAAGTGCAGGGGCATTGTCTGCCCCTGAGCTCGCACCATAGACTCGGCAATTTACTTGACACGGCTGGACCTTATGCGACCCTTGGGATAGATGTAGAGGACCTCCTCGTCCTGTTTGCCTCTTGCGGTCACGATCGAGTTGCGCTGCAAGATTGTCCTTTCGTGCAACTGACTATAGTCTCCCACTTTCGGTATGCACGCAGTCGTCACTCACACTCTTTCGTCTGTCGATTGGCCTGCCGGAGTGTGCCCTCTGGTCCATGTACAGGTCCTCGCCTCCAAGGACGGTAGAAAAGACCAAAAGGTCACTCTAGGAGACTCCATGGGTCT